CTGTACAAACAATAGTATGCAAGTATAAACACCATGGGACCACGCAGCCGTCATACCGCTCAGGAAGGAGACACGTTCTGTCTCCTAGAGATGAACGTACTTTGATGGGAAAAGTGCAAATCAATCCCAGAACAACAGCAAAGGACCTTGTGAAGATGCTGGAGGAAACAGGTACAAAATAATCTATATCCACAGTAAAACAAGTGTTATATCGACATAACCTGAAAGGCCGCTCAGCAAGGAAGAAGCCACTGCTCCAAAACCGCCATAAAAAAGCCAGACTACGGTTTGCAACTGCACATGGGGACAAAGATTGTACTTTTTGGAGAAATGTCCACTGGTCTGATTAAACAAAAATATAACTGTTTGGCCATAATGACCATCGTTATGTTTGGAGGAAAAAGGGGGTGCTTGCAAGCCATAGAACACCATCCCAACCGTGAAGCACAGGGGTGGCAGCATCATGCTGTGGGGGTGCTTTGCTGCAGGAGGGACTGGTGCACTTCACAAAATAGATGGCATCATGAGGAAGGAAAATTATGTGGATATATTGAAGCAACATCTCAAGACATCAGTCAGGAAGTTAAAGCTTGGTCGCAAATGGGTCTTCCAAATGGACAATGACCCCAAGCATACTTCCAAAGTTGTGCCAAAATGGCTTAAGGACAACAAAGTCAAGGTATTGGGGAGTGGCCATCACAAAGCCCTGACCTCAATCCTATAGAAAATTTGTGGGCAGAACTGAAAAAGCGTGTGCGAGGAAGGAGGCCTACAAACTTGACTCAGTTACACCAGCTCTGTCAGGAAGAATGGGACAAAATTCACCTAACTTATTTTGGGACACTTGTGGAAGGCTACCCGACTCATTTGACCCAAGTTAAACAATTTAAAGGCAATGCTACCAAATACTAATTGAGTGTATGTAAACTTCAGACCCACTGGGAATATTATGAAATAAATAAAATATGAAATAAATCATTCTCTCTACTATCACTGACATTTCACATTCTTAAAATAAACTGGTGATCCTAACTAACCTAAGACCATTTTTACTAGGATTAAATGTCAGGAATTGTGAAAAACTGAGTTTAAATGTATTTGGCTAAGGTGTATGTAAATTTCCGACTTCAACTGTACGTTGTAAAAGTTCATTCATAGGCTAGGTTGTAGCAACCTCATGATGGGTATAGGGAAAATGTGAGTATCATGTAGTAAGTAGCCTAAACCTATCCATGTTACATTGAGCTGGGTGAATGGTATATGAATGACAGTCATCCAATATGCTATAATAGAAATAATGCCATGCTCATAAAAAAAATAATCGTCCTCCCTCATCTTAAACGGCACCGACTGCCACTGCATCAGATATGTGCGGTATCCCTTGGGGTAGTTGCCTTGGGCCGTTACTCTTCTCTATTTTTACAAATGATTTGCCACTTACGAGAAGCTAAAATTGCTACAGTGAGGGAAAAAAAGTATTTGATCCCCTGCTGATTTTGTACGTTTGCCCACTGACAAAGAAATTATCAGTCTATAATTTTAATGGTAGGTTTATTTGAACAGTGAGAGACAGAATAACAACAAAAAAATCCAGAAAAACGCATGTCATAAATGTTATAAATTGATTTGCATTTGAATGAGGGAAATAAGTATTTGATCCCATCTCAATCAGAAAGATTTCTGGCTCCCAGGTGTCTTTTATACAGGTAACGAGCTGAGATTAGGAGCACACTCTTAAAGGGAGTGCTCCTAATCTCAGCTTGTTACCTGTATAAAAGACACCTGTCCACAGAAGCAATCAATCAATCAGATTCCAAACTCTCCACCATGGCCAAGACCAAAGAGCTCTCCAAGGATGTCAGGGACAAGATTGTAGACCTACACAAGGCTGGAATGGGCTACAAGACCATCGCCAAGCAGCTTGGTGAGAAGGTGACAACAGTTGGTGCGATTATTCGCAAATGAAAGAAACACAAAATAGCTGTCAATCTCCCTCGGCCTGGGGCTCCATGCAAGATCTCACCTCGTGGAGTTGCAATGATCATGAGAACGGTGAGGAATCAGCCCAGAACTACACAGGAGGATCTTGTCAATGATCTCAAGGCAGCTGGGACCATAGTCACCAAAAAAACAATTGGTAACACACTACGCCGTGAAGGACTGAAATCCTGCAGTGCCCACAAGGTCCCCCTGCTCAAGAAAGCACATATACAGGGCCGTCTGAAGTTTGCCAATGAACATCTGAATGATTCAGAGGAGAACTGGGTGAAAGTGTTGTGGTCAGATGAGACCAAAATCGAGCTCTTTGGCATCAACTCAACTCGCCGTGTTTGGAGGAGGAGGAATGCTGCCTATGACCCCAAAAACACCATCCCCACCGTCAAACATGGAGGTGGAAACATTATGCTTTGGGGGTGTTTTTCTGCTAAGGGGACAGGACAACTTCACCGCATCAAAGGGACGATGGACGGGGCCATGTACCGTCAAATCTTGGGTGAGAAACTCCTTCCCTCAGCCAGGGCATTGAACATGGGTCGTGGATGGGTATTCCAGCATGACAATGACCCAAAACACAAAGCCAAGGCAACAAAGGAGTGGCTCAAGAAGAAGTACAATAAGGTCCTGGAGTGGCCTAGCCAGTATATGTGGAGGGAGCTGAAGGTTCGAGTTGCCAAACGTCAGCCTCGAAACCTTAATGACTTGGAGAAGATCTGCAAAGAGGAGTGGAACAAAATCCCTCCAGAGATGTGTGCAAACCTGGTGGCCAACTACAAGAAACGTCTGACCTCTGTGATTGCCAACAAGGGTTTTGCCACCAAGTTCTAAGTCATGTTTTTGCAGAGGGGTCAAATACTTATTTCCCTCATTAAAATGCAAATCAATTTATAACATTTTTGACATGCGTTTTTCTGGATTTTTTTGTTGTTATTCTGTCTCTCACTGTTCAAATAAACCTACCATTAAAATTGGACCTACAGCCAGTGAACTCACTGAGAGTCTTAGCAAGGAGTTAGTGTCAGAATGGGTATTTTGAAAAATAAACTGGTCTTAAATACTAAAACCAAAAGCATTGTATTTGGTTCAAAGTATTCTCTTACACGTAAACCTCAACTGGAGTTGTACATAAAGGGTGTGACCATTGAACAAGTTGAAGAAGCTGAACTCCTAGGAGTAACATTGGATGGTCAATTATCATGGTGAAGTCATATTGACAAAGTTGTTGTGAAGATGGAGAGAGGTACGTTATTATGGACATTGGTGTTGACCGTGACCTTTTATCCTCCTGTGATGTCATCACCCAGAATTGGCACAGCATTAATGGAACACTACCTCATGTTGAGTTGGGTATATCGCTCTCCTGTTTTCTACCGTTTGTACATGGCTGTACCCTTTTATTTTGTAGTTTGCAAGTAAAGGCAATGAACATTGAAACGCGTGTGGATAATCCTTGTAAAGTTACCACATCTTTTTGGCGATGAGGATAAAACTTTGAGGTCAGCTGGTACGTGATGTTGTGCTAGCTAGCTAAGAAACCGTGAGTTAGCCATTTCTTTTTTTGGAGAGCAGGACAGAAAAGAACGTGGACAGAATATGTGAAAAGGTTGGGACACTTTTTCTTGGCAAATGGAATTACAGATGAGACTAAACAGCGCTCTATTCTCTTGAATAATAATGGCACCGGATGAGATGGCTGCCCCCTAACCAATTGTGCTATTATGTGTGTTTCTTTGCGTTATTTGTAATTTATTCTGTACATAATGTTTCTGCCACCGTCTCTTATGATCAAAAATAGTTTCTGGATATCAGGACAGCGATTACTCACCTCGTATTGGATGAAGATTTTTTTTTCAACAAGTCGGACGCGAAGGATATTCTACAGACACCCGACAAGGCACAAATCCCTGTCATTCGCATGAGAAAGAGATGGAGATATCGTGGACGTATGTCGGGGTGCTTTGTAAGGTTCCGACGGCGAACAAGTTATATGCCTCTACCATCAGTCCTATTAGCCAACGTACAATCATTGGAAAACAAAATAGATGACCTACGATCACGGATATCCTACCAACGGGACATTAAAAACTGTAATATCTTATGTTTCAACGAGTCGTGGCTGAATGACGAAATGGACAACATACAGCTGGCGGGATATACGCTACATCGGCAGGATAGATCGGCTGACTCCGGTAAGACAAGGGGAGGCCTGTGTGTATTTGTAAACAAATAGACCTCCTTTACTCCATATACAGAGACGCGTACAAAGCTCTCCCTCGCCCTCCATTTGGCAAATCTGACCATAATTCTATCCTCCTGATTCCTAATTATAAGCAAAACCTAAAGCAGGAAGCACCAGTGACTCGGTTAATAAAGAAGTGGTCAGATGACGCAGATGCTAAGCTACAGGACTGTTTTGCTAGCACAGAATGGAATATGTTCTGGGATTCTCCCGATTGCATTGAGGAGTACACCACATCAGTTATTGGCTTCATTAATAAGTGCATCAATGACGTCCCCACAGTGACCGTACGTACATACCCCAACCAGAAGCCATGGATTACAGGCAACATCTGCACTGAGCTAAAGGGTAGAGCTGCCGCTTTCAAGGAGCGGGACTCTAACCTGGACGCTAATAAGAAATGCCGCTATGCCCTTCGACGAACCATCAAAGAGGCAAAGAGTCAATACAGGACTAAGTTTGAATCGTACTACACTGGTGTCCACATCACCAACAAACTATCATGGTCCAAACACACCAAGAGGGCACGACAAAGCCTATTCCCCCTCAGGAGACTGAAAATATTTGGCATGTGTCCTCAGATCCTCAAAAAGTTATACAGCTGCACTATCAAGAGCATCCTGACTGGTTGCATCACTACCTGGTATGGCAACTGCTCGGCCTTCGACCGCAAGGCACTGGGCAGGGCAAGTTCAAATCGAAGAAGCTGCAGTCAGCAGCGCACCATCTAGAGAGCACAGAAGAAGAGGATTGTTCCTACAACATGTTTAATGTAAGTGACCCGCGCGAGGAGCCTATCTATGATACAGTGGAGGTAGATGGAAAAGAGATGAGGATGGAGGTTGACACAGGGGCCTCTCCATCTGTCATAAGTGAGGAGACCTACAGAAAGACCTGGGACTCAAAATAGGCTCCTGCCATCACACCGGCAGGGATCAGACTGCGTATGTACACTTGAGAGACCATACCATTGCAGGGGGCTCTAGAGGTGGATACAACAGCCAGGAAGCGAGAGCACGGCTCCTGGTGGTTAAAGGGAATGGACCTAGTCTACTAGGGCATGACTGGCTCAACAAAATACAACTGAACTGTGGTGAGATAAAACACACACAAGTGACTGTGGATGTCATTAAAAAGTACTCTGAGGTTTTCAGAGATTAACTGGGCATGCTGCAGGGTCCTGTTCGTGGATCCTCAAGCAGAGCCTTGTTTTTTCAAGCCCAGGACAGTAACCTACGCCATGAAAAAGAAAGTGGAGGATGAGTTGGAGCAGCTGCAAGAAACATCATTACACCCAATCAGTTCTCCCGCTGGGCAGTTCCAATCATTCCCGTTCTGAAAAGTGACGGCACGGTGTGTATATGCGGGGACTACAAACTCACCATCAACATGGCCTCCAAGCTGGACACTTACCCACTTTTGCGGGTGGAGGACCTGTTCGCGACACTTGCAGGAGAAAATAAGTTTTCAAAGCTGGACATGAGCCATGCCTACCAACAGCTCCTCCTGGACGAGGAATCAAAAGAGGATGTGACAGTCAATACTCACAAAGGCTTGTTCAAATACAACCGCTTGGTTTTCGGGTTGGCATCCAGTCCGGCCATTTTCCAGAGGACAATCTGTTGCAGGGGATCCCTCATGTAGCAGTGTACCTGGACGGCATCCTGGTTACAGGGGAGACAGAGGAGGAGCACCTCCGCAATCTGGACTAGGTGTTAACGAGACTCTCTGATGCAGGGCTGCGCCTGAAGCGTAGCAAGTGCACCTTCCAAGCACAGAGCGTGACATACCTAGGTCACAAAATCACAGGGTCTGTGTCCTGTGGTGGACAAAGTCAGAGCAATTAAGGATGCTCCAAACCCCAAGAACGTGTCCGAGCTTAGGTCGTTCCTGGGCATGGTGAATTACTATGGTAAGTTCCTCCCTGAGGTCTCAACAGTGTTGGCTCCACTGTACCAGCTGCTCCACAAAGCCTGTAATTGGAAGTGGGGACCAGCACAAAAGAAAGCTTTCAAGGAAGTAAAAGCACTACTACAATCAGAACAACTGCTGGTTCACTTCGACTAATACAAAGAGATCATCCTGTCATGTGACACCTCGCCCTATGGTGTCGGGGCAGTACTCTCTCATCAGATGGAGGATGGGTCAGAAAAACCTATTGGATTTGCATTGCGCACGCTGAGAAGGGATATTCACAGTTAGAGAAGTAAGTTCTAGTTCTAGCCATAGTCTTTGCTGTAAAACGTTTTTATCAGTACCTCTAAGGTCATCATTTCACCATATGCATTGACCACAAGCCCCTGATGAGCTTTTTCAGTGAATCAAGATGTATTCCTCCCATGGCTTCAGCAAGGATACAGCGCTGGGCTCTCACACTTTCAGCTCACTAATACACCATTGTGTACAGAGCGGGGAAGGACAATGCAAACGCAGATGTGCTCAGCCGTCTCCCGCTACCAGAGATGCCCGCCACAACTGTGGTGATCCCGAGACAATTTTCCTAATGGAGAGATTGTCAGACTCACCTGTGAATGCCAAACCGATTAAACAGTGGACAGACCTGGAACCTATCCTGTCCCAAGTGAAAAGATTCCTTATGCAGGGTTGGCCTCCTGTCATAGAGGATGATGGACTGAGACCGTATGCAAAGTGCCAAACTGAGCTGAGTGTGCAAGATGGCTGCATACTCTGGCGGTCCAGAGTGGTCGTCCCGCCCCCTGGCCGTTCACAAGTCATGGACGAGGTTCATGACGTTCATGCGGGTGCATCCCGGATAAAAAGTTTAGCCAGATCTTATATCTGGTGACCTAACATGGATCAAGACTTAGAAAGAAAGTAAAATCCTGTTCTGAGTGCCAGATCAACCAGAAGATGGCTCCGCCTGCGCCACTACATCCGTGGGAGTGGCTTGACCGCCCATGGTCCAGGTTGCACATAGACTTTGCAGGCCCTTTTATGGGTCACATGTTCCTTGTCATGGTGGACGTGCACTCCAGGTGGCTGGAGGCTCACATAATGAGCAACATCACAGCGACAACAACCATTGAGAAGCTGCGCCAGGTGTTTGCAACCCATGGTCTGCCTGACTCTCTAGTGTCAGACAATGTGACAACCTTCACCTGTGACTTGTTTCAAGAAATCATGCAGAGAATTGGGATTCGCCATGTCCGCAGCGCTCCGTTTCACCCGGCCTCAAACGGCTTAACGGAGCGGGCTGTGCAGACACTCAAAGAGGGGCTCAAAAGGAGGAATGGGGGAACCATCGCAACCAAGCTTTCTCAGTTCTTGTTCCAGTACCGTATCATGCCACAAACAACAACAGGAAAGACTCCAGCTGAGATGCTAATGGGCAGAAAGCCAAAAGCTCACCTGGACCTACTGCATCCGGACATCAAAGCACAAGTGGAACAAAAGCAGAAGAAACAAAAAGTGAGACATGACCACCACGCAAGAGAGAGACGGTTAAACCAAATTACACTGTCTACATCCACAACTTCACAAGCAGTCAACGCTGGTTGCCAGGTATCATTCTGAGTCAGAGTGGTCCAGTCTCCTTTGTAGTCAAACTGACTGATGGTCGAGTCATGCGCAGACACCAGGACCACATCCGGCTACGCTATGACAAAGAAAATACAATGTATTCAGACAAAACAGCTGTGGGGGGTAGTGCACAAGTGGAAACACCACAGGGAACAGTTTCTGAGGAACAGGGGCATTCAGTGGCTCCAGGAGAGGGTGATGGACTGTCTCTTACCAACACCCGACCCACTCCTGTGCCCTCAGATCCAGCTCCACTGGGACACGCCTCACCTGTGTCTAGTGGAACACCAGGAGTACTGCGCACATCACAGCGTAGTCACAAGGCTCCTGACAGACTGACTATAGTTGAGACTAGGAGACTCATGGTGTTAGTTTTTGAATAGCAGACATAGTTGAAAGAAAAAGGTCTGTTATCTTTGTTTGTTTACAGTTGCAGTAACACTAGCACAAGTTCTAAAGTATTGCAAAGAAAAGAAGAGGAAGCACTGCTGTTGTTTAGTTGTTGACTTGTATACTTAATGTACTGTATTTTCCTCGCAGGAGGATTGAAATTAAGAGGGAAGAAGTGCTATAGTGTGGACACTATATAAATAATTCCTACTGAATAGGTGGTGTACTTAACTGCAGTATAGTATTATTACTATTCATGGGAGCATGGTTATTATGGACATTGGTGTTGACCGTGACCTTTACCCTGCTGTGAAGTCATCTTTCGGAGTCGGAACAGCATCAACGGGACTAACCACTTGTATAATCTATTTGCATACACTTCAAACATACATACATACCCCACCAGACACGCCACTACAGGTTTCTTTATGATACCCAAACCAAAAACAGATTTAATGCATTGCTCAGTTATGTATAGAGCCATATCATCGTGGAATGCTCTGCCACCAGAAGTTACTCGGGCAAAAAGCAAGTTTAGCTTTAAAAAAAACAGATAAAAACATGTATCACAGCGCCTTTCTCTACAAATCTAATTTAACTGTACTATATATAACAAAATGAATATGTGTACACTGAGTGTACAAAACATTAAGAACACCTTCCTAATATTGAGTTTCACAACCCCTTTTGCCTCAATTCGTTGGGGCATGGACTCTACAAGGTGTCGAAAGCATTCCACAGCGATGCTGACCAATGTTGACTCCAATGCTTCCCATAGTTGTGTCAAGCTGGCTGGATGTCCTTTGGGTAGTGGACCATTCTTGATACACACGGGAAACTGTTGAGCGTGAAAAACCCAGCAGAGTTGCAGTTCTTGACACACTCAAACCGGTGCGCCTGGCACCTACTACCATACCCTGTTCAAAGGCAGTTAAATCTTTTGTCTTGCCCATTCACCCTCTGAATGGAACGCATACACAATCCATGTGTCAATTGTCTCTAGGCTTAAAAATCATTATTTAACCTGTCTCCTCCCCTTCATCTACACTGATTGAAGTGGATTTAACAAGTGACATCAATATGGGATCATAGCTTTCACCTGGTCAGTCTATGTCATGGAAAGAGCAGGCGTTCATAATGTTTTGTACACTCAGTGTATATGAATAGTGTGTAAATTGTATTTTTGTTGTCTCTTGGTGACTTTCCTATATATAACTCTTATTTATTTATTTATTTAATGTAATATCTTTTGTTGTTCTTGTCTATTATTGTTCTGTACTTTGTCATGTATTTGTACGTTTTGTGTGGACCCCAGGAAGAGTAGCTGCTGCATGTGCAGTAGCTAATAGGAATCCTAATAAACTAATCTAAACATGCGACTTTCATAGACACATAATAAACCATAGGCCTATCTTAATTAATCAGACTATGAGACTAGGACATAATGCCCTGATATGACTTGGCTCAGCGACCAGGAGATAGTAGGCTAGGCTAGGCGGCCACAAATGTAACCATTTAATCACTGTCACGGAGGCCAATCAAAGTAGATCAGGTTTGCATTAGGTTACATGCTGCATATTAAACAACATCAAAGGAATGGTAAATTATAGCAGTATGCTAATTAATACACATAATAATAGGCCATACTATAGCCTATATAGACTAGAACAGTGGCCAACAACCTTCTCTTAGTCAAGATCACTTTCTGAGTCAAAATGCAAGCCAAGTGCAATTCTCTGCTGGGCGCGTGACATCAAGTGCACCTACAATGTATTGTGTGATATCAATTAAATGATCAATTTCCTATCGGGCCTAACTATAGTGCATGGGGCGGAGAACCACGGGGCAAAGTTATATTTCCAATTAAATTTGCTGTGGGCTCGTGGAAGCTGCTGTAGACACAGTGATCTAAGCTATCTGATTGGCCAGCAATATGCCTACACGTGCACCTGATTTAGCTCTCTGGGCAGATAAAAGAGTTATGCCATCTGCAGACGCACAAATATCCCAATGAAATGCTAAAACTCTCACCATTACAATAACTGGGGCGGTTAGCATTTTTGGGGGGGATATGATATTTGTGTGTCTAACTTTCTCACTCATCATTATTCACGATTCATTCAGGATTATCCGTAATCATGGTAGCATCCACATTAATGTAGAAGTGTTTAGAAACATTATATTCTTAACCACAGTGTCAGTAGGAAGCTCAGGTAGTGGTCCTTCTTTGCCGATGGCTAATTCACAAAGTGTCTGTTCTTCATTCTATTCATTAAGCTGAAGTGCCTCGCAGTGACGTAGATTCAAGTGGATTTTCAGTCTGCTTTGTATTGGGGGTTAGCAGTTAGCTGACCAAATGGATTGATTGAAATGTACCTTGTCTCTTTCTCTTTCCAGGCTAATGCATGAAGTAACTGCAGCCCTCAGGAATTACAGAATACTGTTCCACCTCTTCTCTCCTTCTCCGGGAGCATGCCATCTGAACCTTGTGTCAGGTAAGAGCTGGTGAATCTGTGTGCACACACATACACACACACACACACACACACACACACACACACACACACACGTAAAACATACACACACGCACACAAGTACAGTACATCACTGGGGCCAAGCTTCCTGCCATCCAGGACCTCTATACCAGGCGGTGTCAGAGGAAAATTGTCAAAGACTCCAGCCACCCTAGTCATAGACTGTTCTCTCTGCTACCGCAAGGCAAGCGGTACCAGCGCGCCAAGTCTAGGTCCAAAAGGCTTCTTAACAGCTTCTATCCCCAAGCCATAAGGCTCCTGAACAGCTAATCAAATTGCTACCCGGACTATTTGCATTGTTGCAATTTTACTTATCTATTGTTTACTTAACACTTATTTTTCTTAAAACTGCATTGTTGGTTAAGGGCTTGTAAGTAAGCATTTCACTGTAAGGTCTACACCTGTTGTATTTGGCGCATGTGACAAATGTTGACAATGTTGAACTACAGCTGCTGAGCCTTGGAGGTGGCCAGCATGGGGCTCCAGTGCTTTACCACCCACCCTAGTAACACACACACACACACACACACACACACACACACACACACACACACACACACACACACACATAGACACACACACACCAGACTAGTGTTCAAATACTAAATACTATTGAAGGTGACAGACCAAACTGGAGATGTGGCAGGTAGCCTAGCGGCTAAGAGTGTTGGGCCAGTGACGAAAGGTTGCTGGTTCGAATCCCTGACCTGAATAGGTGAGAAATCTGTCCATGTTCCCTTGAGCAAGGCACTTAACCCTAATTGCTCCTTTAAGTCTCTCTGGATTAGAGCGTCTGCTAAATGACTAAAATTAGATGAGCAGAGAGACAAGATAGGTGATGACGAGAGAGACAGAGATTTTCCCCCAGCCTTGACTGATATCTCTCCATTTCCCTTTCCCTCTCTCTCTCCACCGCTCTCGCTCTCTCCTTCTCTCTCTCTCTCGCTCTCTCTTCCAGTGGGCAGGACCTGGTAAAAGACCAGAGGCTATGCCAGTCCAAGTCTCACCAGGACTCCGTCCTCTCCGCCCTCAACCAGCAGAGGAAGGACGGCCTACTCTGTGATGTCACCCTGGTTGCCGGCGACCAGAAGTTCCACGCCCATAAAGCGGTGCTGGCGGCGTGCAGTGATTACTTCCGGGTGAGTTTGGACCTGGGGAGAACACTGCACTCTTAGAAAAAAGGGTTATTCGGCTGTCCCCATAGGAGAACCCTTTGAATAACCCTTTTTTGTTCCAGGTAGAACCCTTTTGGGTTCCATGTACAGTCGTGGTCAAAAGTTTTGAGAATGACACAAGTATTGGTCTTCACAAAGTTCGCTGCTTCAGTGTTATGAGATATTTTTGTCAGATGTTACTATTGTATACTGAAGTATAATTACAAGCATTCCATAAGTGTCAAAGGCTTTTATTGACAATTACATTAAGTTTATGCAAAGAGTCAACATTTGCAGTGTTGACCTCTGCAATCTGCCCTGGCATGCTGTCAATTAACTTCTGGGCCACATCCTGACTGATGGCAGCCCATTCTTGCATAATCAATGCTTGGAGTTTGTCAGAATTTGTGGGTTTTTGTTTGTCCACCCGCCTCTTGAGGATCGACCACAAGTTCTCAATGGGATTAAGGTCTGGGGAGTTTCCTGGCCATGGACCCAAAATGTCGATGTTTTGTTCCCCGAGCCACTTAGTTATCACTTTTGCCTTATGGCAAGGTGATCCATCATGCTGGAAAAGGCATTGGTCGTCACCAAACTGTTCTTGGATGGTTGGGAGAAGTTGCTCTCGGAGGATGTGTTGGTACCATTCTTTATTCATGGCTGTGTTCTTAGGTAAAAATGTGAGTGAGCCCACTCCCTTGGCTGAGAAGCAACCCCACACATGAATGGACTCAGGATGCTTTACTGTTGGCATGACACAGGACTGATGGTAGTGCTCACCTTGTCTTCTCCGGACAAGGTGTTTTCCGGATGCCCCAAACAATCGGAAAGGGGATTCATCAGAGAAAATGACTTTACCCCAGTCCTCAGCAGTCCAATCCCTGTACCTTTTGCAGAATATCAGTCTGTCCCTGATGTTTTTCCTGGAGAGAAGTGGCTTCTTTTCTGCCCTTCTTGACACCAGGCCATCCTCCAAAAGTCTTCGCCTCACTGTGCGTGCAGATGTACTCACACCTGCCTGCTGCCATTCCTGAGCAAGCTCTGCACTGGTGGTGCCCCGATCCCGCAGCTGAATCAACTTTAGGAGATGGTCCTGGCGCTTGCTGGACTTTCTTGGGTGCCCTGACGCCTTCTTCACAAAAATTGAACCTCTCTCCTTGAACTTCTTGATGATCCGATAAATGGTTGATTTAGGTGCAATCTTACTAGCAGCAATATCCTTGCCTGTGAAGCCCTTTTTGTGCAAAGCAATGATGACGGCACGTGTTTCCTTGCAGGTAACCATGGTTAACAGAGAAGAACAATGATTTCAAGCACCACCCTCCTTTTAAAGCTTCCAGTCTGTTATTCTAACTCAATCAGCATGACAGAGTGATCTCCAGCCTTGTCCTCGTCAACACTCTCACCTGTGTTAACGAGAGAATCACTGACATGATGGCAGCTGGTCCTTTTGTGGCAGGGCTGAAATGCAGTGGAAAAGTTTTTGGGAGATTAAGTTAATTTTCATGGCAAAGAGGGACTTTGCAATTAATTGCAATTCATCTGATCACTCTTCATGACATTCTGGAGTATATGCAAATTGCCATCATCAAAACTGAGGCAGCAGACTTTGTGAAAATTAGTATTTGTGTCATTCTCAAAACTTTTGACAACGATTGTAGAACCCTTTCCACAGAGGGTTCTACATGGTACCCAAAAGGGTTCTACATGGTACCAAAAAGGGTTCTACTTGGAACCAAAAAGGGTTCTACCTGGAACCAAAAAGGGTTCTCCTATGGGGACAGCCGAAGAACCCTTTCCCTTTTTTCTAAAGTGTAGTTTCAAGTGTATTGTCACTGCACCAGTGAAATGCTTTTTGCAGCTCTTCCCACAATGCAGTGTAAGTTTATCATAGTACTATAAGTAAGTAGAACAAAAACAACGGTCCCTGATGCGCAGTGTCAAGCACTATCGAGTGAAATGTGCCACAGAGACCGGTTCGAATCAGCTCTGTCGCAGCCGCGCGACGGGAGACTCTGCGGCACAATGGCCAGGTCGTCCAGTAGGGAGATGCCGGCAGCGCTGAGTATTGTTTGCAAGCCAGGTTGTGTTCAATCCCACGGGGGCAGTATAAAAAACAAAATTCACACTGTAACTGGAAAGAGTTCTAAAAAAAAAAAAAAAATATATAATTATAAATATAAATAAAGAACAGGAGAAAGTAAGTAAGCTATATACAGGGTCAGTTGCAGGGTCAGTGCCAATACCATACAATGTGTAGGGTTACTGGAGTGGTAGGGGTAGATATGTATAGGGGTAAGATGACTAGGCATCAGGATATATGATAAACAGAGTAGCAGCAGTGTATTTGTACTGGGCTGTCCACACCACCCTATGTAGCACATTTGATCAAGGGTGGATGCAGTTGCCATACCAACGCCATTGATGCAGCTCAGTCAGATGCCTCTCAGTTGTGGGCAGATGTCATAACTTTTTGAGGATTTGAGGGCCAATGCCAAATCTTTTCTACCTCCTGAGGGGGAGGAGGTGCAGTCGTGCCTCTTCACTACTGTGTGCGTGGACCATTTTTAAGTCCTTAGTGATTTGGACACAAAGGAACTTGAAGCTTAGTGCGGCAGGTAGCTTTGTGGTTAAGAGCGTTGTGCCAGTAACCGAAAGGTCGCTGGTTCTAATCCCCGAGCCGACTAGGTGAAAAATCTGTCGATGTGCCCTTGAGCAAGGCACTTAACCCTAATTGCTCATGTAAGTTGCTCTGGATAAATGACAACAACAAAAAAAGCTCTCGACCTGCTCAACTAGTGCTCCGTTGATGTGGATGAGGGCGTGCTCGGTGTTAATCCAGGGCTTTTGATTGGGGAAGCAGCGAACCTTCACTGTGGGGACAACATCGGTGATGCATTTGCTAATGAAGCCGGTGGCGGAGGTGGTTAGCTCTTCGATGGTATCAGCAGAGTCCCGGTACAGTCAGCGCTAGCAAAGCAGTCCTGTAGCATAGCCTCCGTTTCAGAGGACCATTTATCTACAGAGCATGTCACAGGTACTTCCTGTTTGAGCTTCTGCTTGTAGACCGGAAGCAGGAGTATAGAGTCATGATCTGATTGCCGAACGGGGGATGAGGGAGGGCCTTGTATGCTTGCTTGTGAGTAGAGTAACAGTGGTCTAGGACTTTATCACCCCTAGTGGTGAAGGAGACGTGTTGATGGAAGTTGGACATTATGTGTCTTAATGACGCAGAATTAAAATCACCGCAACCAGAAAGATAGTCTCCGGGTTCATGGTTTCCTGCTTGTAATAGCCTTGTACAGTTCGATAAGTGCCAGATTGTTGTTTTTCTTGTCCTGAGATAGAATATATACAGCAGTCATGATAACAGCTGAAAACTCTCAGGAAATAGAAGGGTCAGCATTTGACCATCAGATATTCCAAGACGGGTGAACAATGGGTCAAGACTTCCACTGCGCTAGAGTCAGCACACCATTTGCTGTTGATGAAGAGTCATACCCCTCCCCCTCTAGGATTTCCCTGAATCCAATGTCCTGTCCGCTCGGTGAATGGAGAATCCATCGAGTTGGGTAGCCATGGGGGTTATCTTTTCCGAAAGCCATGTTTCAGAAAAGCAGAGAATATTGCAGTTACGAGAGTCCCGTTGATATCAAATTCACGATTGGAGGTCATCCATCATATTAAGTGTCTGGCCAATAGAATAGAGGGAAGAGGTGGCCGGTTATCCCTTCGCCTTAATCTTACCAGGACTCCCCCTCTCCTGTGATCTTTTTCGCCGGCGTTTCATCTTGGGTAGCCCGAAAATTGGGTCGGAATTACACTAACAGCCCAGGGCAGAGTCGAAGTTGAAGCCGGAATTGAGGTTAGTAACTGCCGATCTGATGTTCAAAGGTTCTTGTCGATCATAAGTTTCGCCGGTGTAGGCCGTCACTGTAAATAAGAATTTGTTCTTAACTGACTTGCCTAGTTAAATAAAGGTAAAATAAATACAAAATATGATAGCGGATACATTTCATGCAAAAAAGTAAAGATAAACGCCAAAAGAATCACAAAATAGCAAAGTTGGGTCAGAGCTCGAAAGACTGCAGCCATACAGTACGACGCCATCTTCTGTGCCAGTATGTAATAAATAATAATGTAATGTCAGTGTAATGTGCACATCTGGCTTCAGAGGACATGGAACATACAATACAGTCCACATGCACAGTATATCTACACAGTATATCTGCACATACACTATATATACAAAAGTATGTGGACACCCCTTCAAATGAGCGGATTCAGCTATTTCAGCCACCCCCGTTGCTGACAGGTATATAAAATCGAGCACACAGCCATGCAATCTCCATAGACAGACATTGGCAGTAGAATGGCCTTACTGAAGAGCTCAGTGACTTTCAATGTGGCACCGTCATAGGATGCCACCTTTCCAACAAGTCAGTTCGTCAAATTTCTGCCCTGCTAGAGCTACCCCGGTCAACTGTAAGTGCTGTTATTGTGAAGTGGAAAGTCTAGGCGCAACAGCGGCTCAGCTGCAAAGTGATAAGGCACACAAGCTCACAGAACGGGACCGCCGAGTGCTGACCGCTGAGGTGTCCACATACTTTTGGTAATGTAGTGTATATTAGTCAGTAATCAAGCAAATTGGACTGGAGCCATAGAGATATGGCACTGAATGAGAAATGAGTCAGTCCATAGAGAATGCTAATATGTCAGTATGAGGTACAGATGGCTCATAGGCAGTAAATAGATTAGATCTGCAGACAGACGGATGGATGGACTGACGGATGGAGGGACAGAAAGACAGACAGGCTGGCAGACAAAAAGACAGACAGGAAGGCTGGCAGACTAACGGACCAACAGACAGACAGATGGATGGACGGCTGGACTGACGGATGGAGGGACAGGGAGACAGACAGACAGACAGACAGACCGACAGACAGGGTGGAGAGCTGCAGCTGAGACAGCAGGCCAGTGAAAAGTGCACCAATGAGATTTGATTTAGGGACACTGAGCAGGTTAGGAAGAGGAAATTAATCCTCCCCCTTGAAAACAAGAGAGAGATTATACCTCCTAGTTGCCTATAGGGATTATTCAGCATGGGTATTTTTACGCCTCTTTTCCCTCTCGGTAACTGCGGACATGAGGGTAATAGTATTTCCTCTCTTTTCTTCCTCCTCTCCTCCTTTTGTTATTTCGTTCCCTTTTAAATAGTGTTGTTACACAATCGACTCTCTTCTGTCAAATCTCAGATGAGTCAAGTAACAATATGTTACAGAGCTCAGTTATCATAGTGATCTGGTATAGCCTGTACTTTCAGATTAGACTGTGGGACGAATGTCGTGTCAAGTTTGTTATCATCTGGCACCAAAGTTTAGTTAAGCATGTATGGAGTGGTTTTAATTTAGATTAATAATTCAGTAGAGATGGCTCTTTGGAAGGGCATATGCGAGTAGGTTGTGTATGAGTGTGTGAGACTTTGAGTAACTGGTGTGCTCTGGGTTTTTATGAAGCAAGCGCCTACATGCACAGGCACGAACGCACATACACACATACACAGTCCCTGTCATCCTTCTCCTCCAATCCCATCACATTACCTTTGTGTACCTCAGGGAAATATAGCATAATATCACAGCCACCCTGTCTGTGACACCTTACCAGGGCCATGCACAGAGCTTTCAGGGGGCAGGTGCTCAAAATGAAAAAAGCATAGGCATATTTATTTCTGCAACAACACACTCACTCATCACAAATTGTAAGGAAGCTAGTTACAGTGCCTCTTAGACACATGATTGACACCGGGAAAAGAGGGTAGGCTATTAGCTGATCATTGGGTACATTTACATGAACACTAATAATTAGATATTAAACTGATTATGGCAGTAGGTTGAGTATGGCTCATGTAAACACTTTACTCTGCTTATCTTAATGAGTTTAAGGTCAAAATCGAAGTAAGCACACACTGATTAAAACACCTGGTTTTCTGAGCAATCTTTTGAATTATTAGCACATGTTAACAGCTTAATTGGCATTCCAGCAGTATACAGTGAGGGAAAAAAGTATTTGATCCCCTGCTGATTTTGTACGTTTGCCCACTGACAAAGACATGATCAGTCTATAATTTTAATGGTAGGTTTATTTGAACAGTGAGAGACAGAATAACAACAAAAAAATCCAGAAAAACGCATGTCAAAAATGTTATAAATGTATTTGCATTTTAATGAGGGAAATAAGTATTTGACCCCTCTGCAAAACATGACTTAGTACTTGGTGGCAAAACCCTTGTTGGCAATCACAGAGGTCAGACGTTTCTTGTAGTTGGCCACTAGGTTTGCACACATCTCAGGAGGGATTTTGTCCCACTCCTCTTTGCAGATCTTCTCCAAGTCATTAAGGTTTCGAGGCTGACGTTTGGCAACTCGAACCTTCAGCTTCCTCCACAGATTTTCTATGGGATTAAGGTCTGGAGACTGGCTAGGCCACTCCAGGACCTTAATGTGCTTCTTCTTGAGCCACTCCTTTGTTGCCTTGGCCGTGTGTTTTGGGTCATTGTCATGCTGGAATACCCATCCACGACCCATTTTCAATGCCCTGGCTGAGGGAAGGAAGGTTCTCACCCAAGATTTGACGGTACATGGCCCCGTCCATCGTCCCTTTGATGCTGTGAAGTTGTCCTGTCCCCTTAGCAGAAAAACACCCCCAAAGCATAATGTTTCCACCTCCATGTTTGATGGTGTGGATGGTGTTCTTGGGGTCATAGGCAGCATTCCTCCTCCTCCAAACACGGCGAGTTGAGTTGATGCCAAAGAGCTCGATTTTGGTCTCATCTGATCACAACACTTTCACCCAGTTCTCCTCTGAATCATTCAGATGTTCATTGGCAAACTTCAGACGGGCCTGTATATGTGCTTTCTTGAGCAGGGGGACCTTGCGGGCGCTGCAGGATTTCAGTCCTTCACGGCGTAGTGTGTTACCAATTGTTTTCTTGGTGACTATGGTCCCAGCTGCCTTGAGATCATTGACAAGATCCTCCCGTGTAGTTCTGGGCTGATTCCTCACCGTTCTCATGATCATTGCAACTCCACGAGGTGAGATCTTGCATGAAGGCCCAGGCCGAGGGAGATTGACAGGTCTTTTGTGTTTCTTCCATTTGCGAATAATTCCACCAACTGTTGTCACCTTCTCATCAAGCTGCTTGGCGATGGTCTTGTAGCCCATTCCAGCCTTGTGTAGGTCTACAATCTTGTACCTGACATCCTTTTAGAGCTATTTGGTCTTGGCCATGGTGGAGAGTTTGGAATCTGATTGATTGATTGTTTCTGTGGACAGATGTCTTTTATACAGGTAACAAGCTGAGATTAGGAGCACTCCATTTAAGAGTGTGCTCCTAATCTCAGCTCGTTACCTGTATAAAAGACACCTGAGAGCCAGAAATCTTTCTGATTGAGAGGGGGGTCAAATACTTATTTCCCTCATTAAAATGCAAATCAATTTATAACATTTTTGACATGCGTTTTTCTGGATTTTTTTGTTGTTATTCTGTCTCTCACTGTTCAAATAAACCTACCATTAAAATTATAGACTGATCATTTCTTTGTCAGTGGGCAAACATACAAAATCAGCAGAGGATCAAATACTTTTTTCCCTCACTGTATTTGATCTGCGCATGTGCCAGCACCAGTAGCGCAAGCCTCCCTCTTATGCGCGAGAGAAGTGAGTAGGGCAGATAACTGGAAGTATGCATCTTAGACATTGTTTTCACATACAAACTTTATATGTCGGAACTCAGAATCAAATAGGCTTCACAAAAATAACATGGTCTCTGTGGTAGAACATTTATTTTGATTGGCGATTTTCTCATCAGGTAGCCGGATTTCAAATGTGTCCATGTAAACAGGATTATTAGGAAAATCGTTCTAAACAAACTATTATATTAATCTGACTATCTACAATAATAGTATTATTGTGTGCATGTAACCGTACTCATTGATGTTGATGATTTATGTAAATATGTTAGTTACTAGCTCGATATATATATTTTTGTACGGATTGTGATTTATCTTCAATGCTCTTAAATAATCACTTCATAATAGCCTATACCAGTGGTCACCAAGGCATTCCTAGTCGATCGCCAAACAGTTCTGTAGAAAACCCAACAATAAGCCTTGCATGCACTGTTGGTGGTAGGTGCACCCGATTCCGCTGCTCTGGGCGCCGGGTAGGTGACGTTTTCCCATTTTGAACCATTTCATATGTCTGAAGCTACAAACTGCCTTCCCGGCTGGCCCGGGGGGAGCAAATCAAGTACACTATAGGCCTACCACTGGCCAATCGGATTGCTCAGATTACCGTGTCTGCAATAACGTAGCAGGCATAAAAGAAAGCTACAGCAAAGTTGATACAATGAGATTTCTAAACTTTTAAAACCATGACTAGAGAGAGAGACTGTCAACGAATATAGCAAAGAGCTGCTGTTTTTATGAGTGAGTTCATGTTTAAGTTTTTACTCAGCACTGTCAACAGCACTTTTATAAGCAATAAAATGCGCATTCTCCCTACTTCCACTCAAACTACAATCAGCACTGCAGCTGCAATGAATGAGCAGGAAAGTGTATCGATAGGCTTGCGTTGTAATTATTAGCGGCTTGGGTCTTTTTTAATATTGAGGAATATTTCACTTTCTCTGGTCATAGGAGTAAGTAACAACATGAATTTGTGCATGAAGCAGAATTAATTTGGTGCGACTCGAGTTTCACCATCAGCTGGAAGACGTTGTCCCTTTTTGGTCAGTGTCAGCGGAGGAAAGGGAGAGCGGAGGGACGTTGAGAGGCGGACCCTCAGTCTGCTGCCCTTTCCCTCTGCTGAGACTAATAATCAGATGTAGGCTCCATCAGCCCAGTAAAATAAAAAGCTAATTGTTTAAACGCAGTGGTGTAAAGTACTTAAGTAAAAATACTTTAAAGTACTACTTACGTAGTTTTTTGTGGTATCTGTACTTTACTTTACTATTTATATTTATGGAAACTTTTACTTTTACTTCACTACATTCCTAAAGAAAATAATGTACTTTTTACTCCATACATTTCCCTGACACCCAAAAGTACTCGTTACATTTTGACAGGAAAATGGTCCAATTCACACACTTATCAAGAGAACATCCCTGGTCATCCCTACTGCCTCTGATCTGGCTGACTCACTAAACACTAATGTTTCGTTTGTAAATTATGTCTGAGTGTTGGAGTGTGCCCCTGGCTATCCGTAGATTTAAAAAAGAAAAAAAAGAAAATTGTGCTGTCTGGTTTGCTTAATATAAGGAATTTGAAATGGTTCATACTTTTACTTTTGATACTTAAGTACATTTTAGCAATTCCATTTACTTTTGATACTTAAGTATATTTAAAACCAAATACTTTTGGACTTTTAGTCAAGTAGTATTTTACTGGGTGACTTTCACTTTTACTTGAGTCATTTTCTATTAAGGTATCTTTACTTTTACTCAAGTATGACAATTGAGTACTTTTTCCACCACTGTTTAAACGTATGGTCACTCAGCTGTGCCTCACAAGTAATACAACAACTGATCTATTACCGGTGTGATCATATAGCCTTCCCCAAATGTTAAAATATATATTAAAAAGGAATGGTCTGAGAAGAACAACAATGCATTGGCAGGGCAATTCAAGCAAAGCCAATATGCAGTATAATGTTTTGGGCCTATAGCCTACTGCACAAACCTCATTACTAGAGTACTGTTTTTAATAGACTAATGTTGAAAATCACATTTGTGGTTTCACATGTATATTAAAAAAATCTCTATTTCACATGTGAAAATCTTAGTGCTGACCCCATTTAGTTGACTGGTTGATTGATTGGTCGATAGGCTGTTGGTCGACCGAGATTTCTTTAGTCGAGTAGTCGTTTTTTGTTTTTTTTCATGATGCACAAGACGCATGTCTGATTCGCACCTGTCTCAGTGGACTACTCCATTGCGGAGGCCACGGGGATGGCACAGTCCGGGTAATGTAATTATGTGCACAAGCACAAAACACCACATCTGTCTTTTTTTTTTTGTCCCGTCCAATTCTGCCATGTCAGTAATTTGTACATGGCAATTCCAGCCAGAATACAGAGCTGCCAACTCTCACGCTTTCGCCGTGTGACACACGTTTTTGCCTGTTTTCACACGCACTCACGCCACACATCCAATTTCTCACGCAAAAAAAATAGTCCGAGACTCGTTCGTTCCTTTTTTCAAACTCCCCGACGGTAGATGGCGCTGATGAGCGCCACTGAACCATATGCGCTGCACCCCGAAGTTAGCGACAGAAAAAGACAACAGGAGAAGAAACGATCACTACCTCAAGAAGTCTGATAAGAAGCTGAGCTGAGACTAGGTATGTAACAATGAAATGTCGTCCAATTGAGTACTCACTCTCTTAAACTTTAAATCTTGAAATAAATTATTCGTTTGTGCGTGTGAACATGATTTAGTGTGGTGAATGTAAACTCAGCTGATTTCGAACAGGTAAGATGTATTCCAAAGAATTTAACATAAATACAGGAAATGTGTGCAATAGAAGTAGACTTGTGCAGACATTCACTGACCCCATGACAGAAGTGTACCTGCTGTTCTTCCAAGCCACCGTACCAACTTTCACTTCTTTCAACTTACTACTTCAGAGAGAGCAGTCATCAATATTTTTGTTACATGATGAGGTGGGATTGGATTTTGCTGTTTTTTTTCCATTCTGTGTTTCTTGCTGATATCTGCAGGGATCCTCTAAAACAGGTTTCACCTACTATTTTTGTAAATGTCTGTTATAGATGGTGAAATTCGTATGCAAGCTATGTTCCAAGTTTATGGTTCCTGCAGCTCTGCAGTGCCATGAGGAGCCTTGTGAAATTGCCTTTAAAGAAAAGGCAAACCATTTACCAGGTTAGTATTTGACTATTATTATGATCAAACACTGTGATATGTGATATTTAGCCTTGTACCTTATACCGATATGCTGTATCTGTGACAGGAAGAAAGTTGAACATTGGGTTCACAACCAGGGCTAAATTTAACAGATTACTCGACGAGGGTGACATCACACCACAGCAGGTGGATTCATTCCATGAAGCTGTGTTGTGTTTCCTGACAAGTGCTGTGGACTATGCACTTAAGAAGCTGCCACTGGAAGAGCCACTGATCAAGCACGCACAATTTGTAGATGTACGGCAAAGGGCTGAAAGTGACAGCGAAGATGTCCTGTACTTTGTTGAAAGGTTAGTTTTTTTTCTCTAATTATTGTCTATCATCTTAGCTAAAATACCCTGTGTTTTATGATGAGGTGTGTTCACTCCTAAACTGCACATGATATATTCTTATGTGGCTTCTCAAAGATGTGTATGAACTGCTGCTGGTTGATGACTATATACCTAAAACGTAACAACTTGTAACTCTACTTTCATAAATAGGTTTCCCCATCTCCTCCCATACCATGGGCCAGAGGAGCATGACCTTCTGGGTGAGGAGTTTCTAAATTATCAGACCATGCCAATGATATCCCTGCAGGACGAAACTGAAATGGAAAGCTTCTTGGCTGAAATGGCAACCCGGAAGCATAAGGTACATTTTTTTTTCCTTTTTTGACTTTCCTTTTGGCAGGTGTGGCTTGGCTACATCTGTTGCTTAAAATTGTTGCATCCATATATGTGTCATGCATGTTGCAAATTATGCATGTTTTTATCTGAACTTTGTTAATGGACCAACCTACAGTATACTTACAGTATTAATCAATCAAAAATCAAGGTATGTTTTTCCATTGTGTTTTGGTGCATTTTCCATAGGTGACAGGAGCCAAAGAATTTGAGAGGCTTGCTGCCGTCGCCAAGCTTGTCCTGGTGTTTCCCCATGCAAACGCAGATGCTGAGAGGGTGTTTTCAGTTGTGGGACTGAACAAAACCAAGAGAAGAAACAGCCTAGCAATCTGGAGCCCTGCTTCAAATGGGAGCCCCCCTCCGATATCATCAAGGCCTCCAAGAAGGCCACAGGCCAGTATAACCATGCCGACAGATCATAGACAAGAGGCTCATTTGAGATGAGCCAGGTCTGCGCAGAATCGATCACCGGCGATCACCGCCCAATGCATGCTGGTTAGATTTGTGTCCGACTTGATCCCGACTTTCTCTGACGTCATGCACACGTGGGCAACGATATCCTCATGAGATCAAGGCGGCCGCAGTTCTGAGACGCAGGCAGTGCAATTGCTTTTCACCGACTGCAGGACCCAGGCGGACCCAGGACAAAATCTCACTCCAAGGTTTTTTAAAAAGTTGGCAGGTATGAGAATAACCTACTGTTTTTTGGCAAACTCCAAGGTCGTCTGATAATACTAGTCCTTGCAAATCGACATCCCTGTGTTTTGAGAGAAATGTCTGAGTTTGACAGGTGTTGCTCACGGTTTGAGCAAGAAAACAATAACTGATTCGATCATTTGAACGAAGTGCCATGCATAGCCTATATATGAAGGGCCTACATGTATCAACTTTCACAGTGAATGCTTTTGTTAATATGTTTTGTGCGTATGAATTGAATATTGCCAAATGCATCAGTAAAAAATATTGCGCCTATTTAATGTAACCCTTGCTGTTAATAGATCAGCATACAACTGACTTAAACGTTTGGAAACGTTCACATCCATAGCCTTAAAACGCATCTCAAGTGCACTGTTTAGCTCACATCTGAAGGCTGGGGGGCATTTAGGACGTCTACTGGGGATCGCTAAAATATCCTAATGATTATGATCACACTTTCTCAATTCAAATATTATGGCGACACTATACCAAAGATGGTTTGGTATGGTTTAGAAACTTGGGAACCAAGCTCGAGTTATCAGTGTAGCCCTGTTATCGCCTGGACTTGTTGAAATATCTTCACGCCTAGAAAAAAACCTCCAGGCTTCCGTCATAACTGTCTATTTATTGGAAAAAAATTAAGAATTACAGGGGGCAGTTTGGGAAAAAATTATCCCGTCCGAATCGTCCTCTGTAATAACAGACATTCTGGGGTAATAATTACATAACCAACGTTCTCTAGTAATACTAGTCCCGTGCGAATAGGGTTTAGCCTAATTGTCTAAGAAAATTGAGGAGAGAGCAAACCCCAACTTGGTTAGGTCTATAATCAATAGCCTAACTGTTAAATGTGCCTGGCTTTATAAATCATCCATATATATCTACAGAAATAAGACCGATCTTGCATTTGTTGCCTGTTTGAGTGTTTGTTTAATAGCCTACTGATTCCGTGAGCACCAAGCCTCATGCAACGGCAAAATATTGGATAAAGCAATTTCACAGATTTGGCTGTTTTTAATCATTGCTATGCTGTAATAAAGACTTTACGATTTTTTTTGTTAGAACAGACTGTTATTACTTATTTAGTTACTGTTGTTTACACTGTTCCTAACAGGCAGAAAAATAATATTTACATTTACATTTTAGTCATTTAGCAGACGCTCTTATCCAGAGCGACTTACAGGAGCAATTAGGGTTAAGTGCCTTGCTCAAGGGCACATTTACGTCATTTAGCAGACGCTCTTATCCAGAGCGACTCACAAATTGGTGCATTCACCCTATAGCCAGTGGGATAACCACTTTACAATTTTTTTTGGGGGGGGGGGGGTTATTCCAGGTATTCCTTAAAGAGGTGGGGTTTCAAATGTCTCCGGAAGGTGGTGAGTGACTCCGCTGTCCTGGCGTCGTGAGGGAGCTTGTTCCACCATTGGGGTGCCAGAGCAGCGAACAGTTTTGACTGGGCTGAGCGGGAACTATGCTTCCGCAGAGGAAGGGGAGCCAGCAGGCCAGAGGTGGATGAACGCAATGCCCTCGTTTGGGTGTAGGGACTGATCAGAGCCCGAAGGTACAGAGGTGCCGTTCCCCTCACTGCTCCATAGGCAAGCACCATGGTCTTGTAACGGATGCGAGCTTCAACTGGAAGCCAGTGGAGTGTGCGGAGGAGGGGGGTGACGTGAGAGAACTTGGGCAGGTTGAACACCAGACGGGCTGCGGCATTCTGGATGAGTTGTAGGGGTTTAATGGCACAGGCAGGGAGGCCAGCCAACAGCGAGTTGCAGTAATCCAGACGGGAGATGACAAGTGCCTGGATTAGGACCTGTGCCGCTTCCTGTGTAAGGCAGGGTCGTACTCTCCGAATGTTGTAGGGCATGAACCTGCAGGAGCGGGTCACCGCCTTGATGTTAGCGGAGAACGACAGGGTGTTGTCCAGGGTCACGCCAAGGCTCTTCGCACTCTGGGAGGAGGACACAACGGAGTTGTCAACCGTGATGGCGAGATCATGGAACGGGCAGTCCTTCCCCGGGAGGAAGAGCAGCTCCGTCTTGCCAGGGTTCAGCTTGAGGTGGTGATCCGTCATCCATACTGATATGTCTGCCAGACATGCAGAGATGCGATTCGCCACCTGGTTATCAGAAGGGGGAAAGGAGAAGATTAGTTGTGTATCATCAGCGTAGCAATGATAGGAGAGGCCATGTGAGGACATGACAGAGCCAAGTGACTTGGTGTATAGGGAGAAAAGGAGAGGGCCTAGAACTGAGCCCTGGGGGACACCAGTGGTGAGAGCACGTGGTGCGGAGACAGCTTCTCGCCACGCCACTTGGTAGGAGCGACCGGTCAGGTAGGACGCAATCCAGGAGTGAGCCGCACCGGAGATGCCCAGCTCGGAGAGGGTGGAGAGGAGGATCTGATGGTTCACAGTATCAAAGGCAGCAGACAGGTCTAGAAGGACAAGAGCAGAGGAGAGAGAGTTAGCTTTAGCAGTGCGGAGAGCCTCCGTGACACAGAGAAGAGCAGTCTCAGTTGAATGACCAGTCCTGAAACCTGACTGGTTTGGATCAAGAAGGTCATTCTGAGAGAGATAGCAAGAGAGTTGGCTAAAGACGGCACGCTCAATAGTTTTGGAAAGAAAAGAAAGAAGGGATACTGGTCTGTAGTTGTTGACATCAGTGGGATCGAGTGTTGGTTTTTTGAGAAGGGGAGCAACTCTCGCTCTCTTGAAGACGGAAGGGACATGGCCAGCGGTCAAGGATGAGTTGATCAGCGAGGTGAGGTAGGGGAGAAGGTCACCGGAGATGGTCTGGAGAAGAGAGGAGGGGATGGGGTCAAGCGGGCAGGTTGTTGGGCGGCCTGCAGTCACAAGTCGCAGGATTTTATCTGGAGAGAGAGGGGAGAAAGAAGTCAAAGCATAGGGTAGGGCAGTGTGAGTAGGACCAGCAGTGTCATTAGACTTAACAAACGAGGATCGGATGTCGTCAACCTTCTTTTCAAAGAAAATGTGGCAAAGAGCTTCCTAGGGTTAGAGGCAGATGCTTGGAATTTAGAGTGGTAGAAAGTGGCCTTAGCAGCAGAAACAGATGAAGAAAATGTAGAGAGGAGGGAGTGAAAAGATGCCAGGTCGGCAGGGAGTTTAGTTTTCTTCCATTTCCGCTCCGCTGCCCGGAGCTCTGTTCTGTGAGCTCGCAATGAGTCATCAAGCCACGGAGCTGGAGGGGAGGACCGAGCCGGCCGGGAGGATAGGGGACACAGAGAGTCAAAGGATGCAGAAAGGGAGGAGAGGAGGGTTGAGGAGGCAGAATCAGGAGATTGGAGGGAGAAGGATTGAGCAGAGGGAAGAGATGATAGGATGGAAGAGGAGAGAGTAGTGGGAGAGAGAGAGCGAAGGTTGCGGCGGCGCATTACCATCTGTGTAGGGGCAGAGTGAGTAGTGTTGGAGGAGAGCGAGAGAGAAAAGGAAACAAAGTAGTGGTCGGAGACATGGAGGGGAGTTGCAGTGAGATTAGTAGAAGAGCAGCATCTAGTAAAGATGAGGTCAAGCGTATTGCCTGCCTTGTGAGTAGGGGGGGACGGTGAGAGGGTGAGGTCAAAAGAGGAGAGGAGTGGAAAGAAGGAGGCAGAGAGAAATGAGTCAAATGTGGACATAGGGAGGTTGAAATCCCCCAAAACTGTGAGGGGTGAGCCATCCTCAGGAAAGGAACTTATCAAGGCGTCAAGCTCATTGATGAACTCTCCAAGGGAACCTGGAGGGCGATAGATGACAAGGATATTAAGCTTAAATGGGCTAGTGACTGTGACAGCATGGAATTCAAATGAGGAGATAGACAGGTGGGTTACGGGAAAAATTGAGAATGTCCACTTGGGAGAGATGAGGATTCCTGTGCCACCACCCCTCTGACCAGATGCTCTCGGGGTATGCGAGAACACATGGTCAGACGAGGAGAGAGCAGTAGGAGTAGCAGTGTTTTCAGTGGTAATCCATGTTTCCGTCAGCGCCAGGAAGTCGAGGGACTGGAGGTTAGCATAGGCGGGGATGAAGTCAGCTTTGTTGGCAGCAGAACGGCAGTTCCAGAGGCTGCCTGAGACCTGGAACTCCAGGTGTGGGGTGCGTGCAGGGACCACCAGGTTAGAGAGGCAGCAGCCACGCGGTGTGAGGCGTTTGTGTAGCCTGTGCAGAGAGGAGAGAACAGGGATAGGCAGAGGCATAGTTGACAGGCTGTAGCAAATGGCTACAATAATGCAGAGGAGATCGGAATGAAATGAACTAAACATCTGGGAGAGGAGAGAGCAGGGCCTCCCTCACCAAAACTTCCACCTCAGAAACTATAATTGTTTCACTGAACCACCCGAACAAAAACTCTCCCAACTTCCACCTTTAGAAATCAGAATTGTTGTGAACCACAGCGGTCCAATGTTTAAAGGAATAGGCTCAACCCACTTTATTCAGCTAGCTAACTATGACACCATAGCTAACTAGCATGCTAGCATCCAATAACACACAGTTTAGCACCAACACTTGGTCACAACAAACCACCAATAGTGTGTTAACACACTAAGCAGATAATTCGTGTCCGTGTCTAGTTCCTTTCATAACGCAGCAATAATTAAACGTTGGCTAGCTTAGCACAAATATATTGTATTTAGCTGCCACAGTACAGCACACAATGGCTACTGTGTTGACTCTGTTCGAAAAACGGCTAGCTAGCTAGCTTCGTGCTACACCCGGCACCGCCGAAGACAATGCCAACCTACAGTAACTGCCCACAACAGCCCACGATGCCTAACTATGACACCATAGCTAACAGCACCTGTTTGTCACACATAATATGCACGCAGCTCTCGCTCCTATACCCTCCTTTTTCTTGATCTCCTTGTTATTGTTATTATTACAATTATTATTATGATCTTCATTATAATAATAAGTAATGTCATTATCATTAGTAGGCTTTGTATAGTAGCCTTGTATAACCACCATCGAGCTGTAGGCCTAAGAGCGATTGTTTTTCACATGATTGTTTTTCACATGTGAACTTGCAATTTCACATGTGAAAGTGAAAATCTAATTTGCAGTTTCACATGTAAGAAAACTCCAACTGTGAAAATCTCACTTTCACATGTGGAATTGCAGATTCACATGTGGGGTTGAAATAATGTTATTCTCCTCAGATGTGAAAAGATGGTGTTAACATGTTGCAGTGGCAATGTTTCCACCGGTTAGGTGACCACATCTAAAAGGCCCAAATGCGGGACAAGGGAACGATTTTGCGGGACACACACATGTCTGACTCGTGAATTAATCGATATTTTTTTTATTACATTTTTCACGTGATTTGTTTAAAACAACAATTATTTTTTTGTAAGGGTAGTGTTACTGAGGGAGGTTTTCATCTGAAAGCCCTGAGCTGGGGACAAGACATCATATCTAACTACAGTATGGCCTTATACAATATCCACTCTCTTACAATCGACATAAGGTAAACGCAGTTTAAGCACCTTTTTTATTTTGCGAGAGCTTTTACCCACCTTATGCGGAAAAATGCATGGAACATACAGGGAGCGTTACTTTACTCACCACGAACGGCGATCACAATATAATTTATCTGGTGATGATGAGGACTTGTGAAATGTGTTATTTCAATTTAACACATGTCACCTCAGGCAGAGAGAGAGAGAGAGAGAGAGAGAGAGAGAGAGAGAGAGAGAGAGAGAGAGAGAGGAGAGAGAGAGAGAGAGAGAGAGAGAGAGAGAGATCGCATCGAGGCTCATCGGAAGAGGAGATAGAGAGTCTCTCTCTCTGCTCATCTCTCGCTCTCTCGTCTCTCGTCTCTCCTCCTCTCATCTCTACTCTCTCTCATCGCTCGTCTCTGCTCTCTCTCTCTGCTCTCTCTCTCTCTCTCTCTCTCTCTCTCTCTCTCGCTCTCTCTCTCTCTGCTCTCTCTCTCTCTCTCTCTCTCTCTTCTCGCTCTCTCTCCTCTGCCTCTCGATCTGCTCCTCTCTCCCCTCCTCCTTCCTCCCTCCTCCTCGTCTCCCTCCATTACCCTCCCTCTCTCTCTCTCCCCTCATACCCTCCCTCTCGCTCTCCCCTCATACCCCTCCCCTCTCGGCTCTCCCCTCAGTACCTCCCTCTCGGCTCTCCCCTCAGTACCTCCCTCTCTCTAGGTCAGGAGTAACCCATGTAGCTTGTGACCTTACCCATGTCATCACTCATCCAGGTCCTTAGCCCAAACTCACATGCAAGCATTCATACACACACCGCTCACCCACGACCCCATCCAGACACACACCGCCACCAGGATGTGGCTGGTGTTCAGTCAACCGGGGGATTTTTTTTACTAACACAGTGGTGAATCAACAAGGCTCAACCCTAATGAGACACACATGCCTTTTTTGGAAATAGAGAGCTGCCCGCAAGCCGACCCTGCTCTGAAATATGCCGCACTTCAAATAGAAACGGAAACCGAATGGGGAGCTGCCTGTGCAAGTTCAACTGGATGAGTTGCCTTTTAACATTTCTGAAATATTAGGCTAGTTATGCCCAGTCAAGGACAAAACATGACAGGAAAAACGTCAGGCGTAATTGACCCTACCAGGATGTTTCTGTCATCACAGTTGTCACTGGCCTTCCAAAGTCCAGTACATGGACATCTCATGTCAACTCTTTTCGCATGACAAGGTGTGGCATGAAGGCGCAAACAGATTGGTACCCAACTAGTGTGATTTAGGAGACGTTGATTATTTTAGTTGTGTATTAAAGACATGACTAATCCATCACCCTGCCACTTCCCCTGTTCCTCCATCCCTGATCAATGGCTCTGCCATCATCTCATACTGTGACACCAATCAATTGCTTTGATTGTTGAGCACCCGGCATCAGGCACAGCACAGCAGGCTCAGGGCCAGGCAGCTGCTCTCTCTCTGGGGCTTTGATTTCACTTTGTCTCTGTGTTTGTGTGCACGTGCGTGCATTAATGGAGTGTGTCCCAGAAAAATATCAGGACCAGGAAGTAACCAGTCTCTGTGTCGGATAGTGATAAATATAGCTTGGAAAATGGGTGTCAAAGAGACACATGATCTCTATGTGATCTGTTTGTCCAATGAACTCTATGGATAGGCCCTAGAAGAATGAACCTGCAACTGGAGTGTAGTTTCTGTGTGAAAGCACATGGTAATCTTTGTGCTTTCAAACCCTTGGGGGTGTGTGTCTCTGTCTGTCTGTCTGTTCGTTTGTGTGTGCTGATCAAGCAAAAATATGAACTTCTGTTCTCTCTAAGACAATGGGCAATAAAGTATACATTTTTTGCCCGCGCAACTGACAGCTATATCGGTCCACTAATACCGGACTAGTAAAGGCCCAGTGCACTATTTTTGTTATTTATTATTAATATTTTTTCAGGGGGTGCTTCAGCACCCCTACTTCCTGCATCTATGAGGACATATACAATAGCGCCGGAGGGGATGGCTGCCGTTTTACGGGCTCCTAACCAATTGTGCTATTGTGTGTGTTTTTTCGCGTTATTTCTAACTTATTTTGTACATAATGTTTCTGCCACCGTCTCTGACCGAAAATAGCTTCTAGATATCAGGACAGCGATTACTCACCTCGTACTGGACTACTAACCTGTAGCACTCAGGTCTGTAGCTATGAAGTGCTTTGAAAGGCTGGTCATGGCTCACATCAACACCATTATCCCAGAAACCCTAGACCCACTCCAATTTGCATACCGCTCCAACAGATCCACAGATGATGCAATCTCTATTGCACTCCACACTGCCCTTTCACACCTGGACAAAAGGAACACCTACATGAGAATGCTATTCATTGACTACAGCTCAGCGTTCAACACCATAGTGCCCTCAAAGCTCATCACTAAGCTAAGGACCCTGGGACTAAACACCTCCCTCTGCAACTGGATCCTGGACTTCCTGACAGGCCGCCCCTAGATGGTAAGGGTAGGCAACAACACATCTGCCACGCTGATCCTCAACACTGTGGCCCCTCAGGGGTGCGTTCTCAGTCCCCTCCTGTACTCCCTGTTCACCCATGACTACATGGCCAAGCACGACTCCAACATCATCATTAAGTTTGCAGACGACACAACAGTGGTATGCCTGATCACCGACAACGGTGAGACAGCCTATAGGTAGGAGGTCAGAGACCTGGCTGTGTGGTGCCAGGATAACAACCTCTCCCTCAACGTGATCAACACAAAGGAGATTATTGTGGACTACAGGAAAAGGAGGACAGAGCACGCCCCCATTCTCATCAACAGGGCTGTAGTGGAGCAGGTTGAGAGCTTCAAGTTCCTTGGTGTCCACATCACCAACAAATTATCATGGTCCAAACACACCAAGACAGTCGTGAAGAGGGCACGACAAAGCCTATTCACCCCTCAGGAGACTGAAAAGATTTGGCATGGGTCTTCAGAGCCTCAAAAGGTTCTACAGCTGCACTATCGAGAGCATCCTGACTCGTTGCATCACCGCCTGGTACGGCAACTGCTCAGCCTCCAACCGCAAGACACTACAGAAGGTAGAGCGTACGGCCCAGTACATCACTGGGGTCAAGCTTCCTGCCATCGAGAACCTCTATAAAATTGTCAAAGACTCCAGCCAACCTAGTCATAGACTGTTCTCTCTGCTACCGCATGGCAAGCAGTACCGGAGCGCCAAGTCTAGGTCCAAAAGGCTTCTTAACAGCTTCTACCCCCAAGCCATAAGACTCCTGAACAGCTAATGAAATGGCTACCCGGACTATTTGCATTGTCGTCGTCTTCCCCACCCCCTCTTTTACGTTGCTGCTACTCACTGTTACCTCGACTAACCGGTGCCCCCGCACATCGACTCTGTACCGGTACCCCCTGTATATTGCCTTGCTACTGTTATTTTATTGTTGCTCTTTAATAATGTCTTCTTTTTTATTTTTTACTTCAGTTTATTTTAGTAAATACTTTAACACTTATTTTTCTTAAAACTGCATGTTGGTTAAGGGCTTGTAAGTAAGCATTTCACTGTAAGTTCTACACCTGTTGTATACGCCGCATGTGACAAATTTGATTTGATTTGATATGCAGTTGTTTTTATAATTCAGCTGTGCTGTAGCCTATTTATAGCTCAGGTTTGCTGTGCCCATGTCTCAGAGGTGTGTCTCTCTCTCTCCCTCTCTCTTTCTCTCTCTCCATCTCACTCTCTCTGTGTGTGTTCTCAGGCCATGTTCAGTCTGTGCATGGTGGAGAGTGAGGCGGATGAGGTGGCGCTTCAGGGAGTTACCAGTGTGGGACTGAAACATGCACTAGACTTTGCCTACACAGGACAGGTGAGTCTACAGTAGCACCTTCATCTACAGCTAGCCACCCCACACATGTCCTCAAGTCACACACAGGTACTGTACTGTACTGTACTGAACTGTACACACAAACGTATCTCACAAATATCCAGGCTTAAACTAACTAAGATTGACAGTTTTCAGCTTTTTGTTAACTGATTAAAGCTATAGCCCAGCAATACTCAACTGGCGGACCACGGCCCGGATGCTTGACCCCTAGGGGGCCCCCCATTGATTTTGTTGAGTCACTCAGGTATCATATGAACATACATAAAACATGGCAAAATATGTAGAATTGCAGGAAATGTGATTTAAAACGGCTACATTTTCTGCCCGCCTCATGACAAATTGTGAAGAATTGCAGGAAATTTGATTTAAAATGGCAAAGTTTTCTCTCTGCCAACAAGAGGGGTGTGAACAGTTTGAGCAGTTTGGGGTCGCATGAGTCGCGATGTGGGGGTTTGTTACTATGATGATAAATGACCATCCGGACCATTACCATCTAGTACATTTGTGTGACTGGACCTTATCAAATAGTGGTTGAGTACCCCTGCTATAGCCTTTGCATGGATGTGATACTGTATCTAACCTAGCCTGACCCTACGGTATGCCAGTGATCCCCCCCCCCCCCCCCCCTATCTCTCTCCTCTCTCTCTCTCTCTCTCTCTCTCTTCTCTCTTTCTTTCTCTCGCCTATCTCTCTTCCCCCCATCTTTCTCTCCCTCTCTCTTTCTGCGGTGAGGAGTCAGGAGATCTATGCCCTGTGGCCCAGCAGTGAGAGGCTGGCTAGCTCATAATTATTCCTAATTGCATTTCCACAGTGGAAATGAGCAGAGGGAGTTGTGTTGATATAGGTCAGCAGCCGGCTGCCAGTCCATTTCTGTCTGTTGAGATGATGAGACGTGAGCAATATGCTTATTTCAGTAAACAACCACACAGCTAGTTGCTGAAACACACCAGACACATGTCAGGGGCCATAGGGTTAGCAGACATGCTGTTGCTATATGTTGCTATACAGGCTACACTGAGAGGACACAGCATGCACACGCACATTATAAATATTAGTCTTACTTTTTATTTGATGTTGCTAAAACCATGTATTTACATGGCAATTACATGTAAATGTGACAGGGATCACAGTTGTAAGAAGAATAACTGTGTGTGAATAACAATGTATAATAACACTCAAACTGCAATGTAATGACCCTTTAAATTCATGTTTTATAGACACTGAATATAAAGTCGGACCAACACATGTAGTCTACTGAAGAACAGATAGCATTAATAATGCCTCTCAAGTACTTTCAGTAACACAAGAGTGAAAGCACATTAGTTTAAATGCTATTGCACACAAGACCACGCCTGGCCTGAGACCACAGTCACACACCCACACACATGAATCAGCAGCATTATATAAAGTGACCACTGGTCCTGAGTGCTTCTGTCATTGAATGCGTCCCAAATGGCACCCTATTCCCTACATAGTGCACTACTTTTGACAAGAACCCAATGGGCACTATATAGGGAATATGGTGTCATTTGGGACGCAACCTGTCTGTCTGGGGAGGTGAGCAGTGTGTGAGGTGGACAGGAAGTGGTCTCACCCAGGTCCTCTCCTCAGATAATGCTGGAGCCAGGGGTGATTCAGGATGTTCTGTCGGCAGGAAGTCACCTTCAGCTGCTGGAGCTGCTCAGTCTCTGCTCACACTACCTCGTCCAGGTGAGGAGTCAAGACAGACATAGACACACACACACACTCACATATATTACATACTCACACATACAGTCATATACAGTACAGTCAAATACACACACACTCACTCACTCACTCACTCACTCACTCACTCACTCACTCACTCACTCACTCACACACACAGACACTCGCACACACTGCAATTTCTTGTGTATATCAAGGGTCTACTTTCCATATGTTCAAGGTTCTTCCGAACCACACAAGACCACACATTAAACCCCCCTGTCACCACCAGAGAGATACATTAGCATGGCAATTGGCAAACCGTTACATCACGTTATGGTAAACAGTGCTCTCATACACCATCTACTGGTAGAGAAAGAAATGGACACTATGTTGCACACCATTGATTTCACTGCACTGTCCCTACAGACAAACTTCCTGCTCACTGTAAATAAAATAAAATGTTATTTGTCACATGCGCCAAATACAACAGGTGTAAACCTTACAGTGACATGCTTACTTACAAGCCCTTAACCAACAATGCAGTTTTAAGAAAAATAAGTGTTAAGTAAACAATAGATAAGTAAAAAATAAATCAGTAAAATAACAGTAAAAAGAACAGTAGCGAGGCTATATACAGGGGGGTACCGGTACAGAGTCAATGTGCGGGGGCACCGGTTAGTCGAGGTAATTGAGGTAATATGTCCATTTAGGTATAGTTAAAGTGACTATGCATAGATAATAAACAGAGAGTAGCAGCAGCGTAAAAGAGGGGGTGGGGGGGACAATGCAAATAGTCCAGGTAACCATTTGATTAGCTTTTCAGGAATCTTATGGCTTGGAGGTAGAAGCTGTTAAGAAGCCTTTTGGACTTAGACTTGGTGCTCCGTTACCGCTTACCTTGCGGTAGCAGAGAGAACAGTCTATGACTGTTGCCATACCAGGCAGTGATGCAACCAGTCAGGATGCTCTCGATGGTGCAGCTGTAGAACTTTTTGAGGATCTGAGGACCCATGCCAAATCTTTTCAGTCTCCTGAGGGGGAATAGGCTTTGTCGTGCCCTCTTCACGACTGGCTTGGTGTGTTTGGACCATAATAGTTTGTTGATGATGTGGACACCAAGGAACTTGAAGCTCTCAACCTGCTCCACTACAGCCCCGTCGATGAGAATGGGGGTGTGCTCGGTCCTTCTTTTCCTGTAGTCCACAGTCATCTCCTTTGTCTGTGATCTAACTGCTATACAATTAGATAGCAGTTAGATCACAGCTGAAGATGCAGAGAAAAGGCCCAGGTTAACATAAAATATATATATTCACTAGCTTTCTAGATAAGTGTTTTGTCTGTATGAAAGGTGGTATTGTACAGATTATTTTGTGTGTGAATGTTTGTGTGGGTGAGTGTTTGAGCTGAATACTTACAGAGCCATGCAGTATATTGTACATCACTCTGCTTACTGCCAGCAGATGGCAGACTTATTCCACTCTCAATCTCTGTTTTCTATTCTCTTGCCTCCTCTCCTGTTCTCTCTCTCTCTCTTTCACTCTCTCTCTCACTCACTCATTCTCATACTCTCATACTCTGAGATCTGCTTGAATAACAATGTGGTCTCATCTCATTAGATTCAGTGATATATAAACTGCAGTTCAAAAACACCCGAAAGAAAGTGTAGGACCCAGAGTGTGTGTGTGTGCGTGCGTGCGTGCATGTGAGTGATATTTAACTGTATGTCAGTGTGTTTATGTGTGTTACTGTATGTATTAACTCAAACCCTACACCCCAACCGAGCACTCCGTTCTGCCACCTCTGGTCTCTTGGCCCTCCCACCCCTACAGGGGGTCAGTTCCTGCTCAGCTCCTGCTCAAAGCTCTTCTCTGTCCTGGCACCCCAATAGTGGAACAAACTTCCCCCTAACGTCAGGACAGCGGAGTCCCTGACCATCTTCTGAAATGTTTTGAAACCCTTCCTCCTCAAAGAGTATCTTAAATAAATCCCACGGTACCCCCCTCCTGCTACTTTATTGTGGGAAGATCACAGTCCCATGGCTGTGATATGTGGTTGTCTCACCTAGTTATCCTAAGACGAATGCACTAATTGTAAGTTGCTCTGGATAAGAGCATCTGCTAAATGACAAGCTGGGTTTCTCAACTCCACGACATGTACATCTCGGTGGAGTTGGGTTGCGACGAATATCAGTTAATACGAGGTTAACAGTCGGTGGTTGTATTTGAATAAAGTTTTATTAAAAAGTATGGATTTCAGCAAAGAAAGGCACGCCTTTACACAGGAGAAACATAGGTTGAAGAATATATATTTTTTACAAGTATCGACTGACAGTTACTCAATGTAGTCGGAGGTTCAGTGCGCCCACAGTCGTCGTGGAGTTGAGAAACTCCGCTACTAAATGACTCAAATGTAAATGTATTTACCTTATGAGTCTTTACCCTATGCCAATGTGTCCACAACAGGAGCTGAACAGTGTTAATTACCTGGACCTTTACCGTGTGGCTGATCTGTTCCACCTTCCTGCTCTGGAGGAGGCTGTGGTCAGCTTCCTGGTAGAACACCTGTGTGAGCTGCAGCAGAGCCGCCAGGAGGAGGTGCTGCTGCTCCCCTACCGCCTCCTCAGGGAGGTGCTGAAGAGCGACCACCTCACCTCCCTCAACGAGGAGGAGATCTGGCAGGTACACTGCACTGGCTCCTCACAGTCAAACACACACAATGGAAGCAACAAACACATGTTCGCAAATGCATGCACATATACAGACACATGCACGTACGCACGCACACACACCACACACACTGTATACAGTGGGGAAAAAAAGTATTTAGTCAGCCACCAATTGTGCAAGTTCTCCCACTTAAAAAGATGAGAGAGGCCTGTAATTTTCATCATAGGTACACGTCAACTATGACAGACAAATTGAGATTTTTTTTGTTGAGAAAATCACATTGTAGGATTTTTAATGAATTTATTTGCAAATTATGGTGGAAAATAAGTATTTGGTCACCTACAAACAAGCAAGGTTTCTGGCTCTCACAGACCTGTAACTTCTTCTTTAAGAGGATCCTCTGTCCTCCACTCGTTACCTGTATTAATGGCACCTGTTTGAACTTGTTATCAGTATAAAAGACACCTGTCCACAACCTCAAACAGTCACACTCCAAACTCCACTATGGCCAAGACCAAAGAGCTGTCAAAGGACACCAGAAACAAAATTGTAGACCTGCACCAGGCTGGGAAGACTGAATCTGCAATAGGTAAGTAAGCAGCTTGGTTTGAAGAAATCAACTGTGGGAGCAATTATTAGGAAATGGAAGACATACAAGACCACTGGTAATCTCCCTCGATCTGGGGCTCCACGCAAGATCTCACCCCGTGGGGTCAAAATGATCACAAGAACGGTGAGCAAAAATCCCAGAACCACACGGGGGGACCTAGTGAATGACCTGCAGAGAGCTGGGACCAAAGTAACAAAGCCTACCATCAGTAACACACTACGCCGCCAGGGACTCAAATCCTGCAGTGCCAGACGTGTCCCCCTGCTTAAGCCAGTACATGTCCAGGCCCGTCTGAAGTTTGCTAGAGTGCATTTGGATGACCCAGAAGAGGATTGGGAGAATGTCATATGGTCAGATGAAACCAAAATATAACTTTTTGGTAAAAACTCAACTCGTCGTGTTTGGAGGACAAAGAATGCTGAGTTGCATCCAAAGAACACCATACCTACTGTGAAGCATGGGGGTGGAAACATCATGCTTTGGGGCTGTTTTTCTGCAAAGGGACCAGGACGACTGATCCGTGTAAAGGAAAGAATGAATGGGGCCATGTATTGTGAGATTTTGAGTGAAAACCTCCTTCCATCAGCAAGGGCATTGAAGATGAAACGTGGCTGGGTCTTTCAGCATGACAATGATCCCAAACACACCGCCCGGGCAACGAAGGAGTGGCTTCGTAAGAAGCATTTCAAGGTCCTGGAGTGGCCTAGCCAGTCTCCAGATCTCAACCCCATAGAAAATCTTTGGAGGGAGTTGAAAGTCTGTGTTGCCCAGCGACAGCCCCAAAACATCACTGCTCTAGAGGAGATCTGCATGGAGGAATGGGCCAAAAATACCAGCAACAGTGTGTGAAAACCTTGTGAAGACTTACAGAAAACGTTTGGCCTGTGTCATTGCCAACACAGGGTATATAACAAAGTATTGAGAAACTTTTGTTATTGACCAAATACTTCCACCATAATTTGCAAATAAATTCATTAAAAATCCTACAATGTGATTTTCTGGATTTTTTTTCCTCATTTTGTCTGTCTTAGTTGACGTGTACCTATGATGAAAATTACAGGCCTCTCTCATCTTTTTAAGTGGGAGAACTTGCACAATTGGTGGCTGACTAAATACTTTTTTTCCCAACTGTATATGCACACCATAAAATGCAGATCTTCCATACAGCCAGACCCACACAGACTTTGATATACTACAACACACAATGTGTCATAAAACATCAATTTTCATTGCCTGCACCAAAATGCACTATTTATATTTATGTATCGGAGTGAATAGGAAAGGAAGGCATATGTATCTGTGTGTATATATGTATGAGGGATGGGTGAAGTGTGGAGGGGGGGGGGGGGCTGTGCGTTTTGACTATTCATTTGCACCAATCAGGCCCCTCTCTCCCCCTCTTCTCTCTCCCACCCTCTCTGATTAGGCCCACCGCGGCTTCATCAGGGCCCCAATCCCCCAGCTGTCACTCCGGCCGCCCGACTGATTGAAAACAATCAGGCCTCTGATGGCACAATTACCCTGACCCTTTAGCCAGGCGATGCCGCCATAATCAGACCCTGATTAGGCTGCTTTGGGCCTCCTTCACTCTGCCGAGAAGGTTAATTTGGGCATCCGCCCGAAAAAACGTGCGGGCGCCAATACCCAGCCGATATAGTTTGCCTGTCAATCATCGTCACACCGACTTCTCTCCGAGTCTCACGCTCTGGAAATCACATTTTCTTGGGTCTTTGTTTTTTTCCCCCTCTTTGCAGTTTGCCTTTCTCTGGCTGCTCTCTCTCTCTCCCTCTCCCGTTCTGTCTCTCTCTTTGGGGAGGAGGGGAGGAAGGGGATGTTGATTTATTCTCTGCCCCAAGGAAGTTCTCTGATCCAGCGTGACCTTCACAGTCAGCCTACCGGAGCGCACACACCCCTCCGCCACTTCAGAGGTGGGAGGAGGAGGAGGAGGGAGAGCGAGGGAAAGAGAGAGAAAGGGGGAGAGGGGTGTAGATAGCAAGACCGAGAAGAGGACAAAGCAGAGAGTGGAAGGGGGGGGGGTGTAAATACTGTTGTGTTGGCATAATATGAGGATGTATTTAAGAAGGAAGAGAAAAAGGAGAGGCATTGACAGTAGCAGGACAATATATACAGTGCATGTGTGATTGATGTGTGAATATGTCTGTGTCTATGTAAATGGTGTTTTGGTGTGCTGTTTGTACAGAATATGGTTTGAATGCATATACGAGCCAGTGTAATGTTTGAATATAATTTCAGTGTGTATGCAGTGTGCCTGCGAGTCAGGAGGAGGTGCTGACAGTGAACCGCTCCAGCTCAGTAATCTTGCAGTGCTATAATAAGTTCCCTGTCTCTGTACTGATTGTGTTAAAAGCCACTTTGTTTCCCTGATAATGGTATCAGTGATCTTCAGCCATCTCACCCACATTCACACACTGCTGCCGCAGCTAAACAGCCTCCGATTGCTCTCAAGTTCAATTAAATCCCCTCTCTGCTTCTCTCCTCTCCTGGTCCTCAACAAAGGAATGTACCGGTGGATATTCATGATGCTTGCACACAACACACTATTGTGTGTGTGTGTGCGTTTGTATAAGTGTGTTAATGTATACAGTAACACACTCGTCTTGATCTTGCAACACTGCTCTGTAGGCATTTAGAATACTAATAAGTATGAATCGCTTCACTCTGTCTTCCTCTTCCCCTCTCCTCTCTAGCTGGTAGTGTGCTGGTTAGAGCATGACTGTCGGTACCAGTACACAGAGGACCTGATACAGCATGTTCGTTACGGCCTTATGGATGTGGCCGCCCTGCACCACGTTGCACAGTGCCACCCGCTGGTCCAGTCCAGTGCCACCGCCGCCACCCTAGTGGACGAGGCTATAGAGTACCACCGTGCCACCTACGCCCAACCCCTCCACCAGACCGCCCACACCAAGCCCCGCTTCCAGTCTCTCACCCTCTACATCGCCGGCGGGCGCAAGCGCGAGGTGAGCCGCGTACGGGAGCTGCGCTACTTCAACCCGGCCGCCCAGGAGAACGTGCGCGTGGCCGGGTGCTCCAACTGGAGCGAGCTGGCGCCCATGCCCGCCGGGCGCAGCCACCACTGTGTGGCCGTCATGGGTCACTTCCTGTTTGTGGCGGGCGGCGAGGTGGAGCATTCCACGGGGAGGATGTGTGCGGTGAGGACCGCCTGTCGGTACGACCCCCGGGGGAACCGCTGGACAGAGATAGCCTCCATGAAGGCGTGCAGGGAACACTTTGTCCTGGGGGCTCTGGGCCAGTACCTGTACGCGGTGGGGGGGAGGAATGAACTGAGACAGGTGCTGCCCACCGTGGAACGCTACTGTCCCAGGAGGAACAAGTGGACCTTCGTCCAGTCCTTTGACCGCTCGCTGTCCTGCCACGCCGGCTGTGTGGCTGACGACCTGCTCTGGGTCTCAGGTACACACACACCCAGATGGAGAATAGTGCATAACAGACTGAACACACACACATACTGTACATATACACACACACACACATGCACGCCACCTGTGTGTAATACTCTTCTCTGTTACAGGTGGAGTCACAAACACAGCTCAGTACCAGAATAGACTGATGGTGTACGACCCAGAACAGGTAACTGAAGAACAGGTAGTACAGAGAAATAAGAGAAAAGACAGTAAGACAAATGTCATCAAAACATTTAAGAACCATGGATTCAGAACAGTTTCTGTTTATGTGATAGCTGGGTAATACGCTTGTTTACTGCAATAGGAGGATGTGTGTTTGTGTATGTTTGTGTGCGTGTGAGACAGAGAGCCCGCGCGCAAGGGGGAGAGCAATAGGGAGAGAAAGAGAGCAAGAGTGAGGCAGGGAGGGAGAGCAAGAGAGAGAGAGAGTAAGCGAGCAGGAGACAGAGAAAGTCTCATTTGTATTCACCGTGGAGCTACATTCACCTGCCAGGAACACCACCCCCCACCCACACTACCCTCAACAGATGGCCACCCGTCAACTCCCACCAGACATACGCACACACACACATGCGAACGCATGCACACATACACAATCGCGCACACACACATACACTAGCTCACATACGCACACAAACATGGTCACGTACGCTCACCCCCCTTTCCCCCACACACACATACAAAACAACCATATACACACTTAGTCAAATGTGCACAGTCGGATACTCCATGTAAAATGGAGAGGGTGAAGTATATTATTAGGAATGGGGAGAAATCACTAGGAAAAGTCATAGCCCTGGTGACACATTATTTATCCAGCACTGAACATACATCAATTACCCAAGCAGGGATATGCTAAAATATTAATCCATCTATTCAACATCTTCTCACCATCCTTTTTGCTCCCCACCACCTCTTTCTCTCCCTCTCTCACCCCACCCCTCTCTCCTCCATTCCCACCCTCTCCACTCACCCCTCTCTCTCTTTCCCCATCTCTCCACCTTTCTCTCTCTGACAGAACCAGTGGCTGGCCCGCAGTCCCATGCTGCAGAGGCGAGTGTACCATGTCATGGCCGTGGTGAGAAGGCAGCTGTATGTGCTGGGAGGTAATGACCTGGACTACAACAACGACCGCATCCTGGTCCGCCACATCGACTCCTATGACATAGACATGGACCAGTGGACCCGCTGCACCTTCAGCCTACTCACGGGTGGGTGGGCTGCACATACACACGCTCATGCATACGCATGCACGTGCACACACAGGCAGGCAGACACACACGTACGCATGCACACATACTAGATAAGATCACTGTCCTCCTCTCCTTTTTCCCTTGTGACTATCCACCCCTCTCGACCTTGAATCCCTGTGAAGTTGTCAAATAAGTTCAAGGTGAAGTCATGAGAGGAGACAGAGTTATTTTCAGAACTTTCTGAATGCACGCTATGTCTCAGGTGACATTGAATCATATGGCCTCTCTTTGGCACAGTGAATCGTTGTTTTCGCTATCTCCTCTCTCTCCTCCGCAGGTCAGAACGAGTCTGGCGTGGCAGTCCATGATGACCGAATCTATGTTGTTGGTGGATATTCTATTTGGACCAATGAGCCCCTAGCGTGTATTCAGGTGAGTGACAGATTTAAGAGGATATAACCTGAAAATGTTATGTTTTATTAAAATATGTTGTGCATTATAAATCATTATGCATAGTTTATAAGTGCATTCAAAACACCTTATAATGCATTATAAAGAAAGAGGGTGTTCATAGCAAATGTTATCTTATTAAATTATCTTATTATTTCATGTGTATGACATTTATATTTCACTTCCTGTGGTCCAGGTGTTAGACGTGAGCACGGAGGGGAAGGAGGAAGTGTTCTATGGACCAACTCTACCATTCGCCTCCAATGGAATAGCAACGTGTTTCCTCCCTGCCCCATACTTCACCTGCCCCAACCTACAGACTCTTCAAGTGCCCCATCACAGGATAGGGGCTGTCTAACACACTAATAGAGACTACAGTAAATGTCTACATAGATACATCATGCAAACATGCAAACAGCTCATAAGGACATACATACAATTATGTAACACAAAATAATAGAACCAAAGGTCTACTCCTTTACAACAGCCCCACTCTTCCTTTAAATGCATACACACAATATCTACACTAAACACACACACAATTGCCACCCATATAAGATTACCCACATCTTCCCCAGTGTCAGGATCCCAACCTAACCACTTCAAGTGCAGGCGTCACTGCCCATCCTGAGGACTTGACACTACCTATGAACTGAAAAGAACGTGGCCCTGAATGGAAAAAGGAGGGTCCTCAAGAGGACATTGAGGAGGTTCCATATTCCTATCCAGCTACCCTGTGATGATAGACTGATGTTCCATCAGCTGCAGGGTGGGTGTAAATTCCATTTCAATTCAGTCAATTCAGGAAGTCAACTGAAATTCTGATGACAATTTCTGCTAATTGAAAAGCATTGAGAATAATATATATTGATTGGAATAATATATCCTGAATTAACATGGAATTGACCCCAACCCTGCTCAGATGACTGGTTGAATAAAGGGCTGCTCTAGTCAAACTGGTGCAGAACAGAAGATCGCAATGCTGGAGCTCTCTACGGAGTGAAACGGCTCCCTCTTTTACTAATGCACTATAGGGCTATTGTCACTCTAACTAGCTGCACTTACTTACTACTTACCATAACCCATCTACTTCATACAAAGCCAATGGACCCATCCAAGGACATTTCAGTTGAAACCTGTTGTGTGAACTGTGGACCCATCTTACTCTTTCTTGAGCGTGTGTTTTCTATTCAAGCTCAGGATTTAAGACTGTTTAACAGTTCAATGAATGTGTCTGACCACTGTTATCATACAGTGCATATACTCAACATACTGTATGTAGGAGAACCTAAGCTGTGTTGCCACTGTATTATGACATTTTCAAAACATCTTGTTTTACTTTGACCAAAAAATAAGACAAAAGTAATTCCGTAACTCCACCAGCCTCCAGCAGTGAGGAAGTGTGAGAAAGATGTCTTTGTTTTCGAAATAAAGAGGTATGGTACTGTATGAATAAAGCCCATAATAAGTTGAATCGAGTAAGTTGTTCATCTGCCCGTATTGTCTTAGGGACAGTATGACATTTACTGGGGGGGGGGGGGGTTGTGTGTTTTTTTTAATGGGCACAGGGGAGGGTAGTGCACTTTTCCCCTGGTTTACATTTACAATTTTCTCATCTGCTTGCATGCACCTCCCCAATATCAAGGTGTTTTGGTACTTCCCTTAGGCACTACGCTTTTCCACACACTAACTATTATTATAAACTGGGTGGTTCGAGCCCTGAATGCTAATTGGCTGACAGCCGTGGGGTTGCAACTCAATATTAGGAAGGTGTTCTTTAATGTTTGGTATACTCCGTCTTCTCTACCAGTCTGTCTATGCTGCCCTCTATCTACCATTCATAGTGACAATAGTGGAAGGTGGACCGTTTGTCCAGATCTGCAATAGTCTGCCACAGTGGACGCATCATAATATGCATAAAAACACAGAAATGATTCCAATGGTTTATCCGCCATTAATTTTTCACAATTAATTGTGTGTTTGGTGTAGGCTTACCTTGGCGTGACGTTTTGATAACCGTGTAATTCTCTCAAGGAAAAGGTTAGTTTTATCAATATATTAGCCTCAATTTACTCAAAAAAATGTGCAATGCTAATTATTGATAAAAGTTACCTTGTCTGAGAGAGATTTGCGCGGTTATCAAAACGTCACGCTAGGATAAGCCCACATGAAACCAAGACCTTATGTGAAGTAGTTCTAAAATCCCAGATGGAAAAATTAATGGTGAAAAAACGATTGGAACCATTTCCGTGTTTAATGACTCGTACTGTGGTACTCAATAGGCTACCTAGCAATCATAGCACACATACAATCATTCAAAGCTGCACCAATATTCAATATAGATCTACATAACAGAGAGGAATAGCTGATAGAAAGTGGACAGGCGAGGTGCATCACTGAGCATTAAAGATGAGACGCAGCTCAAAAAGCTCCCCTATTGAGCTTGTTTAGGGACAATATAATTATCCTACATAGACTAGCCTACAACACCACAATGGAATGAATAATTGCATTATTGTTTTCAAGTGAGTTCAAACTTCTACCCTAGGCTGCAGTGAAAATGTCATTTGAATAACGGTGCAAAAGCCCTGCGATTTGAATGTTTCACTCCATCTGGATCAGTTGCGGGTCTTTCTCTCCACAGTTTATAAGGTCTAGAAAGGCACAGTAGCAGGCCAGTCTGGTTGTATTTCTACTTCTGATACTGAGATGTGCTGTCTTGTTGCGGATCAGCATTCTCTCATGTCGTCCTATAATAATGTGGCCACAATAATGTGACTCACAGCAGGCCCAGTTATTCAGGAAAGCTCATCACGCTCTGCCTCCTCTCTGATCTGAGCAGCTATTCTTCATGCACCTAGAATCTAATGCTTCAATATAGCCTAAATATGTCATTTTACTTTTACAATTTATTAATTGCCTTTTATGTGTGGCATAAACCCAACCAGTCACAATGTTTTAATCTGATTACTTCAGAAGTCTCCTGTAGGATGCCTGCGCACTTTCGTCTAAAATATAATTCCAGCATCCAAACTGTGCAGTGTCCATTTGATGAATGAAAAGACACATTACAAAACACAAAAGTTTAATGACAATCGGAGACTGTCAAGCCAAGCCTTCGATACTGGGTAGACCTACAAGGTAGGGAGGGATGTAAGCCTATTTTCTGTTTGTCTAGATTGACACAGTCTATTTGATTGTGGTGTTTAAAACGCAAACCATGATACTGAAGCGCTTGAAGTCGGTATGCTTCACTTATTGGTTGTGTGGTGCATTGGCACAGAAACCTGTTGGTGGATCATTCGTTGCAGATTTCCCCCTAGCTGATCATTGTCTGCAGCTGGCTCTGATCGTAGTGTAATAAAATAGACAGGGAGAATGAGCTTGCCCGTAGTGGTCGGCGAACCCTGAAACTTCTGTACCGTAGCCCTGCGTGGCATCAACTGTGCCACAAAAGCATGCTGAAGCGGTAAAGTCGATATCCACATTTATAAACACATGGTCGCTATAGTTATTTTTATTTGTGGTTGTTAACATTATTTTGAGTTAATTCTATGAGGGGGAGAGTATGCCAAAAAATAACTACAGTACAAGGGGAGGGTCATGTGAAAATATGTGTTACATTGGGGAGGGGGGTGCATTTTTTTATGACACCTCAAGTTGGACCAGGCGTGAAATGATGACTGCCGAAATGAAGCCTGATTGCAAAGGAAAAAGGGAATGGGAAAAGCAGAAGTAATCTTTCGGACTCTGATGAGGGATACAGTGTCAGGAAAGGAGGTGGTTCTGCCTGTAAAGTTGGGCCAACACAAGAGTGCATTAGCACACAGAGATAATGTTTGTCTACTAACAGTAGTTACTATCACACCATATAAATAGTTAAATGTATAATATTTTGTTCTATCTATATGCATCGCACACTCTTCCCAAGCCTGTGAAATTAGGAAACTGAAATACAACACATGCACTTCCAAATTTTTTTCCCAGCACATTATTTAATTTCTTAACACCTTTTTGAAAAATATTTCAATGTGAAGATGGAAACTTGATCATAAATTATGATCTGTATAACTCCAACAGGACAATTTATATACATTATGTACATGTATATACATTAATTTCAAGCCCAGTGGTGTTGTGGTCAACAGCATGGTGACCTGGTCCTGGGGTCAAGGGTCAGTCTTCCTCCAGGCTGATGATCTCCGCCTGACCACCGTCCCCAAGCAGGGTCAGCAAATTCCTGTATGCATTCCTGTCACACATGCAGAGAGAGTGAGTGAGAGGGGGGTCACAAAATGACTCAAAGATGTCACCGCACAAGATCCAGTATATTTCATACAAAGAGTTGACTGTGTCACTGAACACTGCATCAGGGTTCACCGTATATATGCAGTGCATTCGGAAAGTATTCAGACCCCTTGACACTTTCCCCAAAAAATTACATTACAGCCTTATTCTAAAATTGATTACATTGTTTTTTCCCCTCTCATCAACCTACACACAATACCCCATAATGACAAAGCAAAAACAGGTTTTTAGAAATTTTTGCAAATTAATTGCAAATAAAAAACGCAAATATCACATTTACATAAGTATTCAGATCCTTTACTCAGTACTTTGTTGAAGCGGCTTGGCAGCAATTACAGCCTCAAATCTTCTTGGGTATGACGCTACAAGCTTGGCACACCTGTATTTCTCCCATTCTTCTCTGCAGATCCTCTCAAGCTCTGTCAGGTTGGATGGGGAGTGTCGCTGCACAGCTATTTTCAAGTCTCTCCAGAGATGTTCGATCGGGTTCTGGCTGGGCCACTCAAGGACATTCAGTGACTTGTCCCGAGGCCACTCCTGCGTTGTCTTGGCTGTATGCTTAGGGTCGTTGTCTTGTTGGAAGGTGAACCTTCGCCACCGTCTGAGGTCCTGAGCATGTTTTCATCAAGGATCTCTGTACTTTGCGCCGTTCAACTTTCCCTCGATCCTGACTTTCCCTCGTCTCCCAGTCCCTGCCGCTGAAAAACATCCCCACAGCATGATGCTGCCACCACCATGCTTCACCGTAGGGATGCTGCCACGTTTCCTCCAGACGTGACACTTGGCATTCAGGCCAAAGAGTTCAATCTTGGTTTCATCAGACCAGAGAATGGGTCCTTTAGGTGCCTTTTGGCAAACTCCAAGCGGGCTGTCATGTGCCTCTTACTGAGATGTGGCTTCCGTCTGGCCACTCTACCATAAAGGCCTGATTGGGGGAGTGCTACAGAGATGGTTGTCTTTCTGGAAGGTTCTCCCATCTCCACAGAGGAACTCTGGAGCTCTGTCATCGGGTTCTTGGTCACCTCCCTGACCAAGGACCTTCTCCCCCGATTGCTCAGTTTGGCCGGGCGGCCAGCTCTAGGAAGAGTCTTGGTGGTTCCAAACTTCTTCCATTTAAGAATGATGGAGGCCACTGTTCTTGGGGACCTTAAATACTGCAGAAATGTTTTGGTACCCTTCCCCAGATCTGTGCCTCGACACAATCCTGTCTCGGAGCTCTACGGACAATTCCTTTGACCTCATGGCTTGGTTTTTGCTCTGACATGCACTGTCAACTGTGGGATCTTATATAGACAGGTGTGTGCCTTTCCAAATCATGTCCAATCAATTGAATTTACCACAGGTGGACTCCAATCAAGTTGTAGAAACATGTCAAGGATGATCAATGGAAACAGGATGCACCTGAGCGTAATTTTGGGTCTGAATACTTATGTAAATAAGGTATCAGTTTTTTTTTTTTTATACATTTGCAAACATTTCTAAGAACCCGTTTTCGCTTTATCATTATGGGGTATTGTGTGTAGATTGATGAGGTAAAAAAATAATTTAATCAATTTTAGAATAAGGCTGTAACGTAACAATATGGAAAAAAGGGGTCTGAATACTTTCCGAATGCACTGTGTATACAGTTAAAACTCGTTTTTCAACCTCTCCACAAATTTCTTTTTAACAAACTATAGTTTTGTCAAGTCGGTTAAAACACCTACTTTGTGCATGACACAAGTAATTTTTCCAACAATTGTTTACAGACAGATTATTTCACTTAATCACAATTCCAGTGGGTCAGAAGTTTACATACACTAAGTTGACTGTGCCTTTAAACAGCTTGGAAAATTCCAGAAAGGGATGTCATGGCTTTAGAAGCTTCTGATAGGCTAATTGACATCCTTTGAGTCAATTGGAAGTGTACCTGTGGATGTATTTCAAGGCCTACCTTCAAACTCAGTGCCTCTTTGATTGACATCATGGGAAAATCTAAAGAAATCAGCCAAGACCTCAAAAAAATAATTGTAGACCTCCACAAGTCTGGTTAATCCTTGGGAGCAATTCCAAACACCTGAATGTACCACGTTCATTTATACAAACAATAGTACGCAAGTATAAACACCATGGGACCACGCAGCCTTCATACCGCTCAGGAAGGAGACGAGTTCTGTCTCCTAGAGATGAACGTACTTTGGTGCGAAAAGTGCAAATCAATCCCAGAACAACAGCAAAGGACCTTGTGAAGATGCTGTAGGAAACAGGTACAAAAGTATCTATATCCACAGTAAAACAAGTCCTATATCGACATAACCTGAAAGGCCGCTCAGCAAGGAAGAAGCCACTGCTCCAAAACCGCCATAAAAAAGCCAGACTACGGTTTGCAACTGCACATGGGGAAAAAGATCGTACTTTTTGGAGAAATGTCTCTGGTCTGATGAAACTGTTTGAACATCGTTATGTTCAGAGGAAAAAGGGGGATGCTTGCAAGCCGAAGAACACCATCCCAACCATGAAGCATGGGGGTGGCAGCATCATGCTGTGGGGGTGCTTTGCTGCAGGAGGGACTGGTGCACTTCACAAAATAGATGGCATCATGAGGAAGGAAAATTATGTGGATATATTGAAGCAACATCTCAAGACATCAGTCAGGAAGTTAAAGCTTGGTCGCAAATGGGTCTTCCAAATGGACAATGACCCCAAGCATACTTCCAAAGTTGTGGCAATATGGTTTAAGGACAACAAAGTCAAGGTATTGGAGTGGCCATCACAAAGCCCTGACCTCAATCCTATAGAAAAAGTGTGGGCAGAACTGAAAAAGCGTGTGCGAGCAAGGAGGCCTACAAACCTGACTCAGTTACACCAGCTCTGTCAGGAGGAATGGGCCAAAATTCACCCAACTTATTGTGGGAAGCTTGTGGAAGGCTACCTGAAACGTTTGACCCACGTTAAACAATTTAAAGGCAATGCTACCAAATACTAATTGAGTGTATGTAAACTTCTGACCCACTGGGAATGTGATGAAAGAAATAAAAGCTGAAATAAATCATTCTCTCTACTATTATTCTGACATTTCACATTCTTAAAATAAAGTGGTGATCCTAACTGACTTAAGACAGGGAATTTTTACTGGGATTAAATGTCAGGAATTGTGGAAAACTGAGTTTAAATGTATTTGGCTAAGGTGTATGTAAACTTCTGACTTCAACTGTGTGTGTGTGGGGTTGTGTGTTTTTATTAATGATGTGGTTTGGTATCTGGCATGTAATGTAATGTATGTATGTATGTAATGAAGGTTTTATGACTACTGTAAAGCATTTTAATATTCCCGACACTTCAGATGTTTTCCCCACATAGGCCACCACGCAATTTATACAGTGCGATAATGGTTCCCCATGGTGTGCGCAAATGTAGCATTATATCAGGTCGGGTGACAAGATTTTCTGCGGGAATCGGATAAAAAGGCATCCTACGTGCTGTCGGACTGCTAATTCCCATAATGCAATAGTACTTAGTTGTTCCGCATCTCTCCAAATATAAATGAACCATAAAAATAGGATTATGTCTAGGTTAGGTTAGACTAGTGGTTGGGATACGGTCAGGTTTAGAACTCTACCTCAGTGTGGTGTTCTTGCCCAGTCCTCTCTTGTGCTCTGTATTTCTCAGACTCAGCGACAGAACAGGGATCAGAACCTGGACCACATGACTGTCCAGAACCGCTATCGTCTCCAGAACACTGTACACCTGTCTGTCATACACCCCCTCATTCTCCTCCACAAAGGACCTGAACACACAGACACAGTAAGACATAGAGATACTGTAACACCAATGTACATGCTTTATACACACACAAAGCATTGCAGATATATATATTTCTAACCGTGATGGTCAATAGCATGGCTGCCCTAGAACAGTGTCATGTTCAGTAGGCACGAAATGGAAGAAAATGTTCGGAACTGAGTGAAACAGGGAGGTATTATATGAACTTGTCCAACGTTTGAAAACACTTTGCTACGGTGCACAATAATAGACACGACTCAAGTGCAGAGAGGAAGAGTAAAGGCTATGGTAGTTGGTGTCACTCACCGTAGAACAGTGACGGTCTGGTTACATGGTGCATCCCCTGCGGCGGCTGAACATCTCTCCACCACCAGCTGCAGGGCCTCTGTACTGGTCCTCCTCACTGTGAACGCACAGCTGCTGTTAGACTAGTTACCACATGCACACGCACATTGCACACACGAAAACCTATAAAAACACTACCCATAGGAGCAAGCATGTTCACATATTGTTCACAAATATGATTACTGTGTGTACGTGTCTATTTGTGTATTCTCACCATGAGGCTCGTTGACCAGCTTCAGGCAGCGGAGCAGAGAGGGGAGGGGCATGGTGAGTAGGGCGGGGTCACTGTCATTGTTCCGTCTCAGCAGCTCTAATAGGAAGGCCAGGACCGTGGCCAGGCGGGGAGGAGGGGCGTGGACTTTGAACTGCAGGAAGTTCTCACTATGGAGATAGACACAGAAGAGGTATGACACAGAGCCAGTAATGTCTGGCCATTTAGTAGATGCTCTAAGGAGGCTGTCAATGTGGAGTAGGATGAAGTTGTCCTGAGACACTGCTCCAAGGTCAGTTTGGCTTTGCATTCCCCTCCCTAATTATTAAGGTGAGGATTTGGGCAGGGTTAACTGATCCTGGATCTGTACCTAAGAGCAATCTCTACCGAGAGCGTCAGAATCCTACCTGATCACCTGCAGGATGCTCCTTCTCAGCGCTGCCCCACATGGGGTGGGCGTGGATTCGCAGGCCGCCAGCAGCACCGGGTGATTGGCTACGGCCCCAACCGATGGCGTGGCAGGCAGGAAGTGGTCCAGGTACTTGGAGATGACATCACGGAGCTGCTTCTTCAGGTAGGCTCCCTGAGACTGAGACATACTGGCTGCTATAGACAGACCCTGGAGGGGAGGAAAGGAGTGAAACAGGAGAGACAGAGACACAGAGAGAGGTCAGTTAGTATAGTATTACTAATGCTGATGGAAAATACCTCTGCATTTTTCTTTCCTCCCCTCCAACCCTGTTAGTACTTTCGGAAGTATCCAAACAATACTTTTTTCTGAAGTATCCAAACTGGGGTAGTCAGTAACATGATGTTTAGGTAGAGGGAGTGTGAGTGTCTGTGTGCGAGAGTGTGCTTGCATGTGTGTGTGTTCGCAGGTGTATGTGCGTGTGTCCCACCTGCAGGTAGAGGGGCAGGCTGTCCCTCAAGGCCTTGTCCAACCCGGACAGAGAGTTAGGGAGGAGCAGCCCGTTGACAATGTTGAACAGCAGCTGCTGGGCCTTGGAGGTGGCCAGTAGGGGACTCCAGTGCTTCACCACGCACCCTGAGAACACACACACACACACACACACACACACACAGTCAACACCAAGGATGACAGACATTCAACGTGTTTGAGGAGATAGACTCGAAGCAAGTTACTGGGCAGAATTGCTCATCATGATCATATCCTGATACTCTCAAACACGCTGATTCCTTCTCGCCCAATACCAAATTGACCTCTTGCCAATATATTTTCTATGCACTTGCGGAGATCCAAAATTATTGAATAGGTAGAAGCAATATGGTTATAGCTCCACCTTACACTTATCCAGTCATTACAGATTCAAACAAATGCCTAGGGGGATAGGGGCAGGCCTCAGTGATGCATACACCCACCCACAGCCCAGTAGGCCAGCAGCAGCCCCTCCTGAGGACTCTTATTGACCAGGTAGGGTTTGATATACTTCATGATGTCCCCTGTGTAGTCCAGAGCACGGGCGACCATGACAGAACGCTCAGACAACACCTGCAGCCCACTGTACACACGCCCCACAGCCTGAGAGAGAAAAATACAAAAGTGACGATGTAGTTAAGGTGTATTTGTACGGAAATGCAGACTTGCCTTTCAGCGTTTGCTGTTGATATACACGTAACTGCCAAAATAAAGTAAACACCAACATAAAGTGTCTTAACAGGGCGTTGGGCCACCACGAGCCACCAGAACAGCTTCAATGCATCTTGAATTAGATTCTACAAGTGTCTGGAACTCTATTGCAGGGATGCGACACCATTTTTCCAAAATAAATTCCATCATTTGGTGTTTTGTTGATGGTGGTGGAAAACGCAGTCTCAGGCGCCGCTCCAGAATCTCCCATAAGTGTTCAATTGGGTTGCGATCTGGTGATTGAGACACACACACACCCCCTTTAAACCCCCTATGCTACTTTGAGACTCCTCTTTCAAAGTCACTGAGATCTCTTCTTCTAGCCACGGTAGCCAAAATAATGGGCAAATGGGCATTTTTATACATGACACCTAAGCATGATGGGATGAATTGCTTAATTAACTCAGGAACCACACCTGTGTGGAAGCACCTGCTTTCAATATACTTTGTATCCCTCATTTACTCAAGTCTTTCCTTTATTTTGGCAGTTACCTGTATGTATCTTGCATGTTGCAAATATCCTTGTGCGCATGCGTGTGTGAGATGACGTGCTACCCTGTTACACTGTGTGCGTGACGAGGTGCTACCCTGTTACAGTGTGTGTGTGTGTGTGTGTAGTACCTTGATGAACATCTCCAGAGCAGGCCTGGGCTCTAGCTTGCTGCCGGCTCCAGGCTGCAGCCCAGCCCTCTGCAGTAGGGAGTCCACCTCAGGGAGCCTCAATACGAGCCTAGTGAGCTCTGACAACTGCTCCTCCAGAGCCCTGCCTGGAAAAAGTCAGTAACACATAATAAATAATCATATATGCCACTTAGCAGACACTTTTATCCAAAGACTGTATTTACACAGGTAACCCAATTCTGATCTTTTGCCCAATTATTGGCAAAAGATCTGATCGGTCAAAAGACCAATAATTGGGCAATATATCAAAATTGGGCTGACTGTGTAAATGCAGCCAAGTGACCTACTGGCCATTTTTAGGATGTGTATTAGTTCCTTATGGGACCTGAACCCACGACCTTAAGTGTTTCTAGAGCCACACTCTTTCCAACTGAGCCACACATACTTAAAAAGGGAAACTAATGGTAAATGATCCTAATATGGTAATAGACAAGAAGTGTAGGTTACAAGTGTTTAAATGTGGCATAACTGACTGAGGATGTATTTTCATTGCTGACTGCTGAACAGAGACCAGTGAGGCCTGGCCAGTTTGTGCACGCATGACTAACTTTCTTTGGATAAAAGCGTTTGCTAAATGGCATACAGTGCATTCGGAAAGTATTCATTTACATTTACATTTTAGTCATTTAGCAGACGCTCTTATCCAGAGCGACTTACAGTTAGTGAATACATATTTTTTTATACTGGCCCCCCGTGGGAATCGAACCCACAACCCTGGCGTTGCAAACGCCATGCTCTATCAACTGAGCTACATCCCTGCCGGCCATTCCCTCCCCTACCCTGGACGACGCTGGGCCAATTGTGCACCGCCCATGAGTCTCCCGGTCGCGGCCGGCTGCGACAGAGCCTGGATTCGAACCAGGATCTCTAGTGGCACAGTTAGCACTGCGCCACTCAGACACCTTGACTTTTTCCACATTGTCATGTTACAGCCTTATTCGAAAATAGATTAAATAGGGTTTTTTCCTCATCAATCTACACACAATACCCCATAATGACAAAGCAAAAACACGTTTTTTTTTTGGTGCAAATGTATAAAAAAAAGAAACACATTTACATAAGTATTCAGACCCTTTACTCAGTACTTTGTTGAAGCACCTTTGGCAGCGATTACAGCCTAGAGTCTTCTTGGGTATGACGCTATAAGCTTGGCACACCTGTATTTGGGGAGTTTCTCCCATTCTTCTCTGCAGATCCTCTCAAGCTCGGTCAGGTTGGATGGGGAGCGTCGCTGCACAGCTATTTTCAGGTCTCTCCAGAGATGTTCGATTGGGTTCAAGTCCGGGCTCTGGCTGGGCCACTCAAGGACATTGAGACTTGTCCCGAAGCCACTCCTGCGTTGTCTTGGCTGTGTGCTTAGGGTCGTTGTCCTGTTGGAAGGTGAACCGTCGTCACAGTCTGAGGTCCTGAGCGCTCTGGAGCAGGTTTTCATCAAGGATCTCTCTGTACTTTGCTCCGTTCAGCTTTCCCTCTATCCTGACTAGTATACCAGTCCCTGACGTTGAAAAACATCCCCACAACATGATGCTGCCACCACCATGCTTCACTGTAGGGATGGTGCCAGGTTTCCTCCAGACATGAAGCTTGGCATTCAGGCCAAAGAGTTTCATCAGACCAGAGAATCTTGTTTCTCATGGTCTGAGAGTCCTTTAGGTGCCTTTTGGCAAATTCCAAGCGGGCTGTCATGTGCCTTTTACTGAAGAGTGGCTTCCATTTGGCCACTCTACCATAAAGGCCTGATTGGTGGAGTGCTGCAGTGATGGTTGTCCTTCTGGAAGGTTCTCCTATCTTCACAGAGGAACTTGGAGCTCTGTCAGTGTGACCATCGGGTTCTTGGTCACCTCCCTGACCAAGGACCTTCTCCCCCGATTGCTCAGTTTGGCCAGTTGGCCAACTCTAGGAAGAGTCTTGGTGGTTCCAAACTTCTTCCATTTAAGAATGATGGAGGCCACTGTGTTCTTGGGGACCTTCAATGCTGCAGAAATGTTTTGGTACCCTTCCCCAGATCTGTGCCTCGACACAATCCTGTCTCAGAGCTCTACGGACAATTCCTTCGACCTCATGGCTTGGTTTTTGCTCTGACATGCACTGTCAACTGTGGGACCTTATATAGACAGGTGTGTGCCTTTCTAAATCATGTCCAAATCAATTGAATTTTTCCACAGGTGGACTCCAATCAAGTTGCAGAAACATCAATGATGATCAATGGAAACAGGATGCATCTGAGCTCAATTTCGAGTCTCATAGCAAAGGGTCTGAATACTTATGTAAATAGGGTGTAAGGCTGTAATGTAACAAAATGTGGAAAAAGGGAAGGGGTCTGAATACTTTTCAAATGCACTGCATATTATTATCATCTCAGGAGAGAGGGGTCGGATGTCCAGGGTTTTAGTTTGAGGTTCTGTACCTGCTCTGCTGTCGGTGCCGTCTGGGTTTTTGTGGATGTGCTGCTGCAGAACACAGCGGAACCAGGCTCTCACAGACAGAGTCTGGGCTGAGCCTGACACGGAACCTCCACAGCCGTAACTCACTGAATACACCAGCTCGCTGGTGAAGAGAGTCAGTTTGACATAGAACAGACAACAAATGTGTTCAAGGGAATCACAAGTGAGGTGAGGCGCAGAATAGATAATTTTGATTGAATAATGAGTTGTTATTTGGGATGCGAGGTGATTTATTTGTAGATCAGTGATTCTGCGCAGTCTGACTGCAATGTAGTTTATCTCAATCTCTATGTTCCACCGGAGCAAGGCGCTGCACAGATGTGCTAATCTGTATAAGATCACATGATGGATAGTAGTTTGGAATGCAAAGGGGATTTGTAGATCAGTGATTTAGTGCAGCACCTTTCTCAGAATGATCATCTCTGATGTGTGCCACCACACCTGGGTCGTATTCATTAGTGAACTCCGTAGCAAAGTGTTTTGCAACAGAAAACAAAAACAAGCATTTCTTATTGGAGTTCAGACCCTGCTTACTAGGGTAATGTACTGGAGTAATATTACCTGTTCTGGAGCAGGTGGGGCAGGTAGCGAGTGACTAGCAGGGGGTGCAGCATGTCGTCCCAGCCGAAGCACTGCATGATGGACTGGATGGGGTTGGGCTGGAGGTCTTGGGGGGCAGAGCTAGGAAAGTCAAAGGCCAGCAGAGTAAAACCTGGAAAAGAGAGTCAACATTCATACCATGTTACCTTACGGTAACTACCATGGCAAAGAAGTTTGAGAGAGTCATACTGTAACGGAAATATTTTTCACTGAATGCTCAACACAATGCACAGATGCAAGATGTTGAGAGTAAATCACTGACGAGAGAGAGAGAGAGAGAGCGAGAAACAGTGAGACAAAGGCAGACAGTGTATATTATCTTATAAGAAAGACAATTGTTTGTGTGTGTGTGTGTGCAACCCACAATGTGAAATTGTTGTACACAGTGAACATTTATCCTCCTCCCCCTTCCTCCCACTCTCTCCCTCTCCCAGTGTGTGCGTCTGACCTGCGGCAGCGTCAGCCAGCTGGGCATGAGGGGTGTTGGAAAGGCGCAGGCTGCAGAGGAAGGGGAAAAAGTGGGCCCAGAGAGCTGCTGCCACCGCTAGGTGGCGCTCTTTACCCACGCTGGCATTGGGAGGAGGCGGCCAGGCACCGGGGGGGCATGCTGAGTGGCCAGGCTGGACATTGCGCTGATGGACCCTCCTGTAGGACACACACACACACAAAACACAACATGAGAGAAACACACATGGACGCACACACCAATAACATCATTATTCAACAGAAACACAGTATCTCCCTCTCCTTCACACCACCTCTCCACCTGCATCCCTATCTATACTCTGCTCCCTTCCTCTCTTTCACATTCTTACCATCCCCCTTCTTCGCTCTCTCACTCTTCCCATCTCTGGGGGGATTAGGTCGTGCGGGGCAGGGCAGAGCAGAGCGGGGCTGATCCCCTGTACACAGGCTGGGCTCTGGATTCTGTTTCTGTGCCTGCCTGGCACCACGGCGGCTGGCATTAGCCCAGATAAGCAGCTGAAGGAGCTGTAATCTCATTTAGACTGGAGATGATCCTCCTGTCCCCTCATTCGCCCGGATGGAGCGAGGGAGAGAGGGACGGAGGGGAGGGAGGCAGGGGTGAGTACTGGTACCCCCTCAGCTCCCCTTGCACTCCCAAAACGTCTCGCTCTCTCACACACACACACACACACCTCTGCCTGCGCCTTCCAGCAAGGTTGCATCTAATCCAGAGAGAGCTGAGACAATCGATTAAAGTCTGAATTCATTAGCCTCGTTACTAAGGCGGAATGGGCCTTTCACACCCATCAAGCCTCATTGTACAAGACATAGTCAGAGACCCCACTTAATCCTCCCCACTGCCGCTTCTTATAGCTGTACACACACACACACACACCATTAGAGACCCCACTTAACCCCTCCCCCAAACGCAACCACTAACACACACACACAGAGACTGACTTGCCACCCGGACAGCTGATGAAACTGTGGGTTTGCACAACCAAAGAATTTCTGCACAAACTGTCAGAAGCTCATCTGCATGCTCGTCGTCCTCACCAGGGTCTTGAACTGACTGCAATTTGGCGTCATAACAGACTTCAATGGCCACTGGCATGCTGGAGAAGTGTGCTCTTCACGGATGAATCCCGGTTTCAACTGTACCTGGCAGATGGCACCGTGTGGGCGAGCGGTTTGCTGATGTCAACGTTGTGAACAGAGTGCCCCATGGTGGTGGTGGGGTTATGGTATGGGCAGGCATAAGCTACGGACAACGAACACAATTGCATTGTATCGATGGCAATTTGAATGCACAGAGATACCGTGTCGAGATCCGGAGGCCCATTGTTGTGCCATTCATCCGCCACCATTACCTCATATTTCAGCATGATAATGCACAGCCCCATGTCGCAAGGATCTGTACACAATTCCTGGAAGCTGAAAATGTCCCAGTTCTTCCATGGCCTGCATACTCACCAGACATGTCACCCACTTGCCAGGTCGCAGTTGTAAATGAGAACCTGTTCTCAACTGGCTTACCTGGTTAAATAAAGGTGAAATAAAAAAATTAAAAAAACTGAGCATGTTTGGGATGCTCTGTACGATCAACGTGTACGACAGTGTGCTCCAGTTCCCGCCAATATCAAGCAACTTTGCTCAGCCATTGAAGAGTGGGACAACATTCCACAGGCCACAATCAACAGCCTGATCAACTTTATGCGAAGGAGATGTGTTCCGCTGTATGAGGCAAATGGTGGTCACACTGACTGGTTTTCTGATCCACGCCCCTACCTTCTTTTTTAAAGGTATCTGTGAGCAACAGATGCATATCTGTATTCCCAGTCATGTGAAATCTATAGAGGTCTAATGAATTTATTTCAATTCACTGATTTCCTTATATGAACTGTAACTCAGTAAAATCTTTTAAATTGTTGCATGTTGGTTTGATATTTTTGTTCAGTGTAGTTTTTATGATGTGCGCCTCATAAAAAGACATACTGTAGCCTACACGGGTTTAATGCGTTTGTTGTTATTGTCGGCCAATCAAAGTGGCACTGTCTACAGTGGCTCCATGTGTAGCAACCAATGTGGGAGATCTCTAATCAATGCAAAATTGAATACAAATTACAGAATTAAGTTAGTTAAATGAGAAGGAGTCTTATTGGTCTATTAACTGATGTAACCAGGCAGGCCAAAACTCCATCCCACCAAAACAGGCTGAAATTTCAGGCGGTATTTTCAAACAGCTCTTAAACTAAAAGGGCATTATCATAATTTTCACATTTACACAGTGTTATCCAACCTCAGTGTGGAAATACATATAAAACACAGGAAAATTATATTTTTGATTGCACTGGGCCTTAAATAATGACAGGGAAAAACAACTATTGCATTGCACCATCTCCATAATGCCCATCCACTGCTCGTTAGAGAGAGACTCAGGGTCCAATGGAGGGCCAAGGTGTAGGGGCGTAGGGTCTAGATACAGAGGAGAGCACTTAATTAAGATCTCAGATAATTGTCCCCCACCCGCCCCCCAATATAATACTGAATGTGTAGCACTGAGACGTCACATACACACACCCTCTGGCGACACAGGGGTCTCAGGCCCCCACGCGCAGGATCATGGGATGGAATGCAATGTGAGGAATTAGCCTCCTGGTTGGCTTTGGGCGGCCGGCCTTAGCGAGGGCCATCCGAGTCAGTGGTTGTCACACACACGTGCACACACGCACACACCTCTCGGTCACAGCCTCTGGCGGGATAATTCTCTTGATATGTGCAGATTCTGCTCTGCTCTTAATAAACAATGACGGCGAGGCACAATTTGCAGGACTACATAATTACCTGTTAATTGTGTCACTGAAAACGCATTAATCACAGAGATATCAAGTACTGCCAGGACGGAGAATTAAGCGTAATTTGGCGGGACGAATTTGAGAGAGCTTTTTTATTTTGTTAAATGGGTCAGCGTGATCTCGCCCATAACACGGTCCCCTTTGGGAGTTTTCGCTCCTCTCTTCTGTGACGTCTGCCATTAATGTGCAAATGAGTGCCCTCCAACCCCGAGATATGAGATGGGGGAAGTTTCTTGAATTAACGAACCTAGCGAGATATGCCACGTTACGGGAGCCTGGACTGAAATAAAAGAGCACACTTTAGTGATGGGGGGAAAAAATCTATAGTTACATATCTGGATTTTTTTCCGTATCGTATCGTTTTGACAATATCGCAATATTATTTTTTATATCGTATCGGCACTAAAGTATCGTGATATCGTATCGTGAGGTCCCTGGCAATTCCCAGCCCTAGCACACTTAGTGTTTCACCTTGAAGGTATGTGTCTGTGGGAGTGTGTGCATGTATACACAGGAGAGTCAAAGCAAGCACACACTCATATAAGTCGTGAGTGAGGATTGTTGCTGGCAGCTTACTGCTTCATTAGCGCTGACTCAGGGTAATCCAAACTGAACAATAACACAACATTGTAGTGGTCCGGTCCATTCAGATACAACCAGACACCCTCTCCCTCCTGAAGCCTCTGTCCTACCCTTTTACTTCTTCTCTCACCAAACAGACACCGGTTTCACCTGTGCCTTTCTCTCTAAACCTTTGACCTCTGATCGGGTCATCTGTGTAACACACACCCGTGGCCCGCCGGTGAACTCACCCTGACGCCGTCTCCACTCTCCGCCACACAGTCACTCCACACACTCACGATCTGCCACTATACCCATGGTGACTGCAAAGGGAAACCCTAGGGGCCATAACTATAAGACCTCTGCCAGCACCTGCTGAAGGTGACCTGGGGGCCACATGGCCCCAAGAGACAGAAAGGGGCCTCCGTACACAATGGATGGGCTGGGTTTACCATTGGGATGGAGGGGGGACAGAGGACAGCACATTCCTGCCTTTGAAGGTGTCAGTACTGGGGCCTGACTGGGCTGGGGGCAAGGGGGACCCGTCTCCTGCTCCTCTGTAGCTCAGCTGGTAGAGCACGGCGCTTGTAACGCCAAGGTAGTGGGTTCGATCCCCGGAACCACCCATACACAAAAATGTATGCACGCACGACTGTAAGTCGCTTTGGATAAAAGCGTCTGCTAAATGGCATATTATTATTATTATTAGATATCAGCAATGATAGGTAGGGCCAGGAGTTTTTTCACGTGATCATGCCAGCAAAAACTCCAGGCTCTAGTTGTAGGGTCTAAGGCCAATGCCTGAAAGCATGTCTGTCCGCTCGTCAATGTGTAGTGTGTGTGTGTGGGCATTTGTGTCAAGTGTGTCTCAGGGGGTTGCTGAGTGTTTGTACCCCCTCTCTCACCGTAGCTCCCTCAGCACGATCTGCAGAAAGCCCAGGGCGGAGCTCAGCTCTGACTGGCGGCAAGCGGGCAGCAGCAGACCGAACCCCTCGTTGAGTAGCCTCTCCTCCGACAGGCCGAGACTCACGCTCGTCTCAAACACCTCGGCCACGCCCTCCAGGTAGGACCCCAGGGGGCCCCAGAGGGCCAGGCGGCGAGACGGTTCCGTGGTCTTCAGGTAGAACTCCCTGGCTGTCTGAGAGAAGGAGGAGGCCAGCCAGCTAGCTTGGGCCCCCACGTCAAGACCTCTCTCCTGGAAGAGCAGTAAGAGAGCCAGCTGGCCCCTCCATACCAGGCTCCGCTGGGCAGGGGGGGAGTCCGGAGGGAGCAGGCCCAGCAGCTCACAGGCCCGGCAGGCTACATCCTCCAGCTCGGCCTGCCGGGCCACCACAACGAACAGCAGCAGGAAGTTCATTAGCCCAGCCTCGGATAGTTCCTGCATCCGCCGCTGGTGGAACTTGGAGTACACCCTGGAGAGGAGCATGAGAGAAGGAGGAGAGCGAGCGAGAGCGAGAGCGAGAGCGAGAGCGAGAGCGAGAGAGAGAGAGGAGAAATAAGGGACATGAGTTTCCATTGGTCATAGTAAGATGAAGAGATAGTAGTGTCACAGTTCAAATTGAGTGTGTGACATTCATATTATTCATCTTTCACTGAGACTTTGCATTGCTCTAGTCAAGATCAGAGTGGACCGCCCATCCTCCATCACAAAGCTCCATCACTCCTTCTCTGGTGCTAATGAGAGGCATGCCAGGTGTGCGTGTGTGCCTGTGTGTGTGAGAAAAACAACCAGCGCATCGTTGTTAGATCCTGCGGGCACCGTGAACAAATGCCTTCAGAGATCATGTTAAATATCAGACACTCAGCGGTAGGCACGAAGTCGCCCTCTCTGCAGTCAAACCAATCTATTGCAACACCAGTTAGAGATCAATAACTACTACACACACACACAGATCATACACTCACACACAAACAGATCATACACACAAGCACAAAAGCATGCACGCACACACACACACACACAGATCATATACGCACACACACACACACACACACGCTACCCCCTGCAGTGCACCCAGAGGGCTCCAGAGTTCCCCTAGAATGGATACAGCACATATTGAGGAACAGGGCCAGAGACTCAAGTCAACACAAACACACAAACTCTCCCATACAAATTATGAACACTGCCATGACGGTCATGAAACTTTGGCAGCCGGTGATTGTCAAGCAAATAACTGCCGGTCTCACGGAAAAAAATGACCGTTAATTAACATAAACACAATTAGCATCTACTGGCTTCCATGCATAGCCTACAAGCCACTGATGCAGACCTTTGGAACATCTACATTTTAAAGTCTAAAAAAATCCATAAAATATTGCCTATACCATCACAATAAATCCATTCTTTATTTTAGACAGGTCTAAAGAAACATGATATGAAGAAAATTATCTATTTCAGAACATAATAGCATACTCTGATTTGTCCTTATGTTAGGCCCTGATCTGCCATATGGCTGTGGGCTACACTAGCTCATTTAGCAGACAGGATTTGCTTAGAATTCCGTGGCATTATTTTATAGTATGAAGAATAAAAATGTAACATAGCTGAACAAAATAGAAAGGATATTTTCTCCAAATGATTTCAGAGGGAGTACGCACATGCGGCTATTCTGTATTGAGCGGTTAACAAAGAAACAAGTCCTCCTATTTGCTTAATTTAGAGTTATTATTGCAACTTCAGTTGTGATACAAACATTGGGCTATACAGTGCATTCGGAAAGTATTCCTCATTTTCTAAAATTGACTAAATCGTTTTTTTCCCTCGTCAATCTACACACAATACCCCATAATGACAAAACAAAAACAGGATGTACCTGAGCTCAATTTCGAGTCTCACAGCAAAGGGTCTGAATACAAATATGAATAAGGTATTTCTGTTTTTCATTTTTAATAAATTAGCAAACATTTCTAAAAACCTGTTTTCACTTTGTCATTATGTGGTATTGTGTTTAGATTAATGAGGGGGGGGGGGGGGAAATGTAATCAATTTTAGAATAAGGCTGTAACGTAACAAAATTTGGAAAAAGTCAAGGGGTCTGAATACTTTCCCAATGCACTGTATGTTTTGATTTTTAAAACATTCTAAGGCTGCATGATGCGACTGATGATGATTTAAAAAAGGTTGCATGAAAAGGCATGAGCTCTGCTTTGTTTTTTTCTGCAGGCTGTACACACTTCATCAGTCTCTCAATCACGATTTGACAAGCACTTATATTCTCTCCAGGCCTCGAATTTCCCTGCAGCATCCCCCTTGTGTGGCTGCAATAGATAATACAAAATTTCACAAGTGAAAGGATGATATTGTCATCCATCAGACCTTTCGTAATATAATATTTTCTTTACATATACTAATTCCTATACAGTACCAGTCAAAGGTTTGGACACACCTACTCATTCAAGGCTTTTTTTTTTTACATTGTAGAATAATAGTGAAGACATCAAAACTATGAAATAACACCTATGTAGTAACCCAAAAAGTGTTAAACAAAACAAAATATACTTTAAATGTGAGATTCTTCAAATAGCCACCCTTTGCCTTGATGACAGCTTTGCACACTCTTGGCATTCTCTCTACCAGCTTCACCTGGAATGCTTTTCAACAGTCTTGGAGTTCCCACATATGCTGAGCACTTGTTGGCCGCTTTTCCTTCATTCTGCTGTCCGACTCATCCCAAACCATCTCAATTGGGTTGAGGTCGGGGGATTGTGGAGGCCAGGTCATCTGATGCAGCACTCCATCACTCTCCTTCTTGGTAAAATAGCCCTTACACAGCCTGGAGGTGTGTTGGGTCATTGTCCTGTTGAAAAACAAATGATAGTCCCACTAAGCCCAAACCAGATGGGATGGCGTATCGCTGCAGAATGCTGTGGTAGCCATGCTGGTTAAGGGTGCCTTGAATTCTAAATAAATCACAGACAGTGTCACCAGCAAAGCACCCCCACACCATAACACCTCCTCCTCCATGCTTTACGGTGGGAAATACACATGCAGAGATCATCCGTTCACCCACACCGCGTCTCACAAAGACACAGCGGTTTGAACCAAAAATCTCAAATTTGGACTCATCAGACCAAAGGACACATTTCCACCGGTCTAATGTCCATTGCTCGTGTTTCTTGGCCCAAGCAAGTCTCTTCTTCTTATTGTTGTCCTTTAGTAGTGGTTTCTTTGCAGCAATTCGACCATGAAGGCCTGATTTACACAGTCCCCTCTGAACAGTTGATGTTGAGATGTGTCTGTTACTTGAACTCTGTGAAGCATTTATTTGGGCTGCAATTTCTGAGGCTGGTAAGTAACTCTAATGAACTTATCCTCTGCAGCAGAGGTAACTCTGGGTCTTCCTTTCCTGTGGCGGTCCTCATGAGAGCCAGTTTCATCATAGCGCTTGATGGTTTTTGCGACTGCACTTGAAGAAACTTCAAAGGTTCTTGAAATTTTCCGCATTGACTGACCTTCATGTCTTAATGTAATGATGGACTGTCGTTTCTCTTTGTTATTTGAGCTGTTCTTGCCATAATATGGACTTGGTCTTTTACCAAATAGGGCTATCTTCTGTATACCCCCCCCTACCTTGTCACAACACAACTGATTGGCTCAAACGCATTAAGAAGTAAATAATTCTACAAATTAACTTTTAAGAAGGCACAACTGTTAATTGAAATGCATTCCAGGTGACTACCTCATGAAGCTGGTTGAGAGAATGCCAAGAGTGTGCAAAGCTGTCATCAAGGCGAAGGGTGGCTATTTGAAGAATCTCAAATATAACATATCATTTGATTTGTTTAACACTTTTTTTGGTTACAACATGATTACATATGTGTTATTTCATAGTTTTGATGTCTTCACTATTATTCTATAATGTAGAAAATAGTCCAAAAAAAACAAAAAAAACTTGAATGAGTAGGTGTGTCCAAACTTTTGACTGGTAGTGTGTGTGTGAAATTAGTTTAGATTTAGAATGGACCATTATCATGCACCTGTCTCAGAACAGGGGCAGGGGAAAAAAATACATGTAATCTATGCACTTAAATAGCGAATGGAGGACGCTTTTCCCGTGGTTCATTTTCACGTCAGCCAGGTAGGCTATATTCCTGTTGTAAAGCGAAGCAATGTGCTTAATATTAGGAACGTGAGAAATAAATATAGTAGGCCTAGCCTATTGAAAGCTGATGGGATCGTCCTCTTTTTAATAGAGCCCATCAAAACTCTGTTTTCCCACACAATTGCATAGCCTATAGAAATGTTATGCAACATGAGCTCTCATTAAATGTTTGATTTGATTTGCAATTATATTTGCATTGATGTCAGAGTGATTAGAAGGACAATAGAGTCTGAGCACCAGGCAGTTAGCAAGTTTGGTAGGCTACTAATGACCATCAGCAGCAACAGAGCTCGGAGAAGCCTAGTTACCGTGACTAAACGGTCACGTGGAATTTGACTGCTGTCATTACTTGTGACTGCCGGTGTGGCGGTAATATGGTCACCGTAACAGCCCTAACCATGACTGGTTCTAAAGTTCTGCTACATGTTACAGGGAGAGAGAGTGGTGAGAAAGAGAGAAGGTGTATGGATGGTATCCATGTAGAGAAATAACCTAAGGCAGGAAGAGCGAGAACATTTACATTTACATTTACGTCATTTAGCAGACGCTCTTATCCAGAGCGACTTACAAATTGGTGCATTCACCTTATAGCCTATCTACCAAAAGGTAGATAGGGAGATCCATTTAGAGAAAAACAGTAGTGGGAAATGGATATACAGTTTAGCTGTAACAGGTTGGGAGGCAGCAGAGGCTTTTTCCTGTGTTTTGTGTTTGTCTGACAGACAGACAGTCTGTGTGAATGTGTGTGTTTGTTTATCCTGGACAGCTTTTTCCGGAGGCGAGCAGATGCTCACGACTCCTGGCATAAGAGATCAGCGCTCTCCCAGTCGATCCCATTAATGCAGACACCACGGGCCTCCCACGGAGCCGGGCCAGCCAGCGGGAACTTTGCCGGAACGTTGCCGGAACGCCGTAAGCACGCCCAGCTCTTCTCGAGGGAACTGGAGCAGAGAGAGAGGGAGAGAGGGTGTTCTAATCTGGACCAGGCCCAGCCCAGTCCGGTCCTTGCCAGCATCCTCCCTGCCGCCGCCCACCCCCATCCGTGCTGGAAACCAACACGGCTTCGTTAAGGGGAATTAACCGCCATGCTCGTTAGCTAATTAGCCTTCATGTCTGCGGAGCGGCTGAGCACGTTCCAGACAGAGGGAAGTCATTAGGCGGATTTATCCTCCTCGCTGGCGCCCAGCCGGGCCCGTCCCAGGCCACGTTCTGATGTTGGGTCCATGGGCTTGGATGGGCTTATCATCTTTGGTCTCCCCCAGAAAGGTGGAGCCATGGCTGGGGGAGTTTGGGAAGCAGCTGTGGGTTTTATGTGGGGCTCAGTGGGACTAGGCTGGTCTCTGCTGGGAGGAGAGGCGAGGTAGGTGGAGATTCCTCCTGAGACACCTGCTCTCCCTGGGAGGCTGAGCAAATAGCAAAGCCTCAGAGAGGGGCTGTGCCACACCTGGCAGGCACACACACATACGCACACACACGTCAAGAGTCACGTCTGTGAGTGTGGACTCACCTGTCATCTTCACCACCCTCCCTTCCCCCCCTTAGGGGACAGTATTCCGTATCAACATAATATTGAACAAAACCAATTGAGCTCCATTTAAAGAGTACCTTAGGGGTTTAACTGGCCTCCTTTTCTGTACCCCTCCATGTTACCCATCCCTACACACACACACGCCTCACCTGCCCTTGATCTGCCTCCAGGGGGCACAGCCTGCGTTCTCCTGGGCCAGGTAGAGAGCCAGCACTCTGAGGAAGATGTGAAAGGAGTTGGCTGAGCGGTACAGCTGGGTGTGGCCGGGGGAGTGAAGGGGGGAGGGGGAGCAGCAGCTCCGGGCCTGGTCCAATAGGGACAGGGGGGTTCTGCTCACGCTGCCGAGCCCCGACACCCCTAACCAGGGCACTGTGAACGAACCGCTCTGGAGGGAGGGGAAGACGGAGGGGAGAATGTAAATGGGATATTTCTCAATCCAACATTAATTGAGAGATAAGAGTACAACATGATATGATCAACTTTATTGTCCACAAGGGGGGGGGATTATTGGGCACATCATTCTGCTGTATATAATAACAGACATAACATTTCATACACACTGTACATTACATATTGTCCATGTTTTAGAGTGATGTGTTAGAGGTGTTCCTTACCAGGTTTTTGCTGTAGTACTCCCAGAGTGTGGTGACAGTGCTACTGTTAGGTTCCCATAGCAGTGACAGACTCAGGCAGCAGTGGACGTGCATTCTGATCTGATCCTCCTGTAGCGCTCCCTGCAACACACACAGATCAATGAACAAACTAATTATAACTGTACACAGAAACCATGCTCCCATCCATAACCCATATCCTCTTTGAGCGAGAGCCTACCTTAGGGTTACAGGTGGACTTGAGCAGCTCACCCACAAAACTCCAGTTGTCCTCCAGCTGTTTCTGTGAGACCAGAGCATACATTATATTACCAACAAAACATACAACCTAATAAACTTGGCAAGAAGTCAAAATTGCAGCCTGTCTTTCATCTTAACAGGGGATGATTTTGACCGTTTCAACTATAACTGGAGGACATATTTCAGAAAATCAGCCATATCTGATTAATCCGGAAAAATCACATCCCTTTACAGTTTAGGACATCCCTCCTTATAGCCCCCTAATCTCAGGTAGATTACTTCATTTTGGAAGGCCCCGTTGCGGCTGTATTGTCCCAGCTCAGCCAAGTGAGTGACAAGCCACCATGTGAAGCCCAGAGGGTCTTTACAGTGTGTAGGGAGCCCACTGTACTGCTCTGCTACAGGCTGGCCACTGATCAGAGACCGCAGCAGTGTGTTCATGTAGTTCCAGAAAGACTAGGGGGAAACACACACAAGTGCACACACACAGTTGTAAATAAAAACACTATGTCAAATTTGATTAATTGTAGATACAATCGGATGGTCACCAAATCATTCAGTTGCATCACGTGTGAATGTGTGCGTGTTCACCTGTGTGTGTAACACTTTGCTCCTGTGTTCCAGTAAGTGTATAAGTAGTATCCACAGCTCTTTGGTGCAGGTGCAGTGGTAGTGATGGCTGGTCAGGGCCTCAGTAGGCCTTACCTACAACAGAGGACAGAGTTAGGAATACCCTTTACCCCAAAAGCCTCAGCCTCGGAAGAGGCTACTAACTCTTAGGGAGATGTAAATGTTGCCTATAGGTTTTAAATTATCTATCGATTTCACCCTATCTAGGCAGTATTATAACTATACGAAAAGTTATTAGGAATTTGTTTTTCTTCTCCCCCAACTCTTAGACACAACCACCCACCCACAGAGAGATGGGAGCACAGGTTCAGCCATAGTGTGGCGCCCCTGGAGCATTTTTCAAGGGTTTGCCTCATGGCTTACTCAATGGTTAGCGTTGTTAAGGAACACAACACAAATGTATAAACCCATACACAGTACCTTGCTGTATTTGCCCATGGCCAGGCCAGTGAGGTCAGAGAGCAGGTTGCAAAGATGCTCCTCAAACAGGCTGTTGTTGGTCAGGTTCTCCCCTGTCAGGTTCACAAACTGGTGGGCGTACACCACCTGACCTGCAAAGGTCAAACAGACAAATAAGGATGTAGTAGACCTACAATACACTGACAACACCAACCTGACAACACCAGCCTCAACTTTCTTTCCCTTCATATTGTGTATTTCAGATCCGTGTTTGATTTTTATAGTACTGCGTATGTCATTTGTTTTGCCTTGGAAGATTACCCTATGATAGGTTAGACGAGAGCCTAAATACCAACAATAAAAACAACACATACCTTGCATCCTCTGCCCCAGCAAGTGGAGAATCTCCAACACTGACCAGTGGATGTCCAGGTGGAGGTGTAACAAATGCCAGGAGGGAGGAAACAGCTGAGGGAGATACACATAAAAGCATATCATGGGTATTCCACGTATTTTACTGGGAATCCTCACCTTCTCTGATCATTGTCCCAGTGGTGAGATCTGCATGGAGCCCCAGACCGAGGTTGATTGACCGTCATCTTGAACTTCTTCCATTTTCTAATAATTGCGCCAACAGTTTTGCCTTCTCACCAAGCTGCTTGCCTATTGTCCTGTAGCCCATCCCAGCCTTGTGCAGGTCTACAATTTATCCCTGATGTCCTTACACAGCTCTCTGGTCTTGGCCATTGTGGAGAGGTTGGAGTCTGTTTGATTGAGTGTGGGGGACAGGTGTCTTTTATACAGGTAACGAGTTCAAAACAGGTGCAGTTAATACAGGTAATGAGTGGAGAACAGGAGGGCTTCTTAAAAAAAACTAACAGGTCTGTGAGAGCCGGAATTCTTACTGGTTGGTAGGTGATCAAATACTTATGTCATGCAATAAAATGCAAATTAATTACTTAAAAATCATACAATGTGATTTTCTGGATTTTTGTTTTAGATTCCGTCTCTCACAGTTGAAGTGTACCTATGATAAAAAGTACAGACCTCTACATGCTTTGTAAGTAGGGAAACCTGCAAAATTGGCAGTGTATCAAATACTTGTTCTCCCCACTGTATATTTGAACCCAGGTCTGGTATTCACTCACAATATTCATGCTTTTTTGTGTGTGTGTGTGTGGGGGGGGGGGGGGCTACCTTGCCCTGGTGCTGTATGGTGAGGGCACTCTGGATGTTGGCCGTTAGGTCTTTGAGGCGCCCTATGAGGAGGGTGACCCCAAAGAGCTCCTCCAGCAGAGCAGAGGGTAGCTGAGCCTCCAGCTCCTCATAGGGGTGACAGGGGCCCTCCTCCAGGGGACAGGTGGGCTCCAGGTACCTGCAGGGTGCAGAGGTCACACAGGGAGTCACAGAAAAGTCAGGTGTCAGACCTGACTGCTTATCCTTTTACCTTTTAAACAAAGAACAAATCCTTACAGTGTTTTACTGGAACTAGCTAAGTAAATATAGCCTATGCCCTAGGCCAGGGACAGTCAGTAAGAATCAGTAATAACTGACCAGTAGCATTACCTGTATAGGAAGACTTTGACATATTGGAGAAACAGCACACACTGTTGCCTAAGGTCTTCTGCCTCATAATGGAGGCTGCTGGCTTGGCCTGAAACATAACATTGTCAAGTACATACAGTACAACAAAAACAGTACAAGATTTCCCCATCACAACTCAGAAAAAAATCTAACAACCACCATACCAAATCACATCACACAGGCACTATCTTGGTTATTACCACAAAGTTTTGATCAAATAATATCAACATGTGAACTCCTTCTCACAAAACCATGAGCAGCAAGGTATACATTAAGTTAGCTTACCAAAGTCATGAGAGCTGGACTGCACCAGGGTCTCTAGTTTAAGAAGCTTTTGCCTGAAAGGTGACAACAAATTGTGACACACTGACCTCGAAACCCTGAGAATTAGAGACAGTGAGGCAGCTATACATAGTCTGAAAAAAATGAATGACACTCCACATTATCTGGCTGTATTCCCACCTGAACAGGCCGAACAAAAGTTTGGTAGATTCCACCAGAGCAGTCTCGGTCACCCATGGGAAGCCAAAGATATCCACTGTGTCCTCCTCATAGTCTGCAGGGGCTGGGGCCAGACGCAACAGCAGCCTATGGAAGACAATAGTAACTTAGATCTGCTGCAGCCTACAAGACACTGAAGACAGGGAGTTTTCCTCAAACAATATTGTTGGTAATGATTCTGTTGTAATATAACAAGATCAACATAATATGTATTATTTCTGTCCACTGTTGTCAGCTGTCCACAATCTTTTGAGTTACTATGTGTCACATACGGTATGAAAGTCCCACCTACTTCCTGGATCATGTCCCACGCTGTTATTGAATGGCCTTCAAGTTTATATTGTCAAATTCATGAAAACGCTGTAATTTAAGATACATGCAAAATTGTATTCGTATTTGCGGATTAATTTACTTCTACCTGATGCCTTTAATGAAGATTTCTGATTGATTGAGTAAATTAATCCACGAATACAAATATAATTTTACATATATCTTAAAATGACCGCTTTTTTATGAATTTGATTATATATTCTTGAAGGCCATTCAAAAACACTGCGAGACATGATCCATGAAGTAGGCGGGACTTTCATCCTGTCATGTGTCATGGCAAGTGGCTTATGTAATGTCTCTGTACTCTTATACAGTAGATTATACACTGAACAAAAATATAAAACGCAACATGTAAAGTGGTCGTATGTTTCATGAGCTGAAATAAAAAAATCCCAGATATTTTCCATATGCAGAAAAAGCATATTTCTCTCAAATTGTGCACAAATTTGATTACATCCCTGTTGGTGAGCATTTCTCCTTTGCCAAGATAATCCATCCACCTGACAGGTGCAGCATATCAAGAAGCTGATTAAACATCATGATCATTATACAGGTGCACCTTGTGCTGGGGACAATAAAAGGCCACTTTAAAATGTGCAGTTTTGTCACAACACAATGCCACAGATGTCTCAAGTTTTGAGGGCGTGTGCAATTGGCATGCTGGCTGCAGGAATGTCCACCAGAGCTGTTGCCAGATAATTTAATCTTAATTTCTCTACCATGAGCTGCCTCCAACGTCATTTTAGAGAATTTGGCAGTACGTCCAACCGGCCTCACAACCGCAGACCACGTATAACCACGCCAAATCAGGACCTCCACATCAGGCTTCTTCACCTGCGGGATCATCTGAGGAGTATTTCTGTCTGTAATAATTTATTTAAATTGACAGATTTCCTTATATGAACTGTAACGCAGTAAAAATCTTTGTAAATGTTGCAGGTTGTGTTTATATTTTTGTTCAATATAATATTAGCCTGCTAAAATATGCCTTAGCTGTGTGCTCATAGAGACGTTACCGTTTCAGGGAGCCCCTGCCAATATAACTGTCAGATGACAGTGGCTGGGTGTCTTCCCGACCCGGGTCAGACGCACAGGAGAAACAGGGTGGCAGGGCTGGGGTCAGCTCACACTGGCTTTCCCCTACGAAGGGTGACACCGGCGGGGTCAGCGACTGGCTGAAGTCTTCTTCCATTGTGTTCACTTTAGAGAAGCGACATTGAAGACACAATCTGTCATTTCAACAGTCTGGCCATGGCACTTTAGTTGGCAAGATGAGGGATGGGGCTGTGGAAGTGTCAAATTAATAGTTAGAGCTTATACTGTTAGTAAGTTAAGTGCAGGGAATGACAGTCAATGAATTATCGATATAATAATTTTTTTAACTATACAAATGACAACATAAACAATTAAATAACATATCAATAAACACACAGGTAGTTAGCCTAGTAACGTTAACCTTACAAGGCTAATGTTGGCAAACCTCTAACGTTACTTAGCTATTTAACGTTACAGTTCACTGAAATATTTGAATAACGTTAACTAACTCACTGTTTTATCTGTGCCGTGGATCAGTAGTAGCAGTTACTCTGAGTCTTGACTTTATGCCCTGCCGAGAATAACATCGTCAAAACACCTACATTAACGGCACTGTTTAATAAACTGCAGTTGCACCATCAAAGTAAATGCAAAGTCAAAAGACAGTTCACAGTTTGTTAACGAGCTAGCTTACATCCAGATGAAATCCTGAAATCCTTTCTGAATGCTCTGTTGGGGTTTTCACTTCATTAGCCTGTCTCTCCCGCGCAAAGGAGCACACGCGCTACGCATGCGCAAATTCGGGCACCGCAAACGATATCTTTCCGATGATTGGTCCGAAGTTCTTTCGAGATTCTTCTTCTTCTTCTTCTTCTTCTTCTTCTTCTTCTTCTTCTTCTTCTTCTTCTTCTTCTTCTTCTTCTTCTTCTTCTTCTTCTTCTTCTTCTTCTTCTTCTTCTTCTTCTTCTTCTTCTTCTGTGGGTTTTATGGCGGACTACATCCAAAAGTTGTATTTCCGCCACCAACTGGACGGTTTGAAACCAAAAATAAAATTTAAATAAATCCATACTTAATACTGATGCTAACAATCCACCCTAATAAAAATAGTACATTGCCAAAACAAACAAAACTCCCACTTCTTCTTTCTTTTAGTTCTCCATATCTCCCTTCTCAGGCTCTAGGACCTGAGAATTTGGTACGGCTTTTGATAATATTCCATTTAACTCCTTTGCTGTGAAATCTTTCATAACATTTACATTTTAGTCTGTCAAGAGGCGTGATGTAGATGATCTGTTAAAGGGTGCGTTCGTAAATGCCCTCTGGCTATCTACTCCGATTACATCGTCTGAGTGTGCCAGAGCGCAGAATAATGTAATAATTTAGGAAAGCTCAACACCCGTCCAGTGTCAGTAAACGTCGGCAAAAAAGCGTAATTAAATTGTAGCTATCTAAACTAAAATATGTGCCTAATTGTCTTTTTATCCACTGTACTTTGTTTTGTTTTTGTTTTGAAGGCTATTGGATCAGTTTTCTCTCTCTCTCTCTCTCTCTCTCTCTCTCTCTCTCTCTCTCTCTCTCTCTCTCTCTCTCCCTCTCTCTCTCTCTCTATATATATATATATATACAGTTGAATATACAGTTGAAGTCGGAAGTTTACATAAACTTAGGTTGGAGTCATTAAAACTTGTTTTCCAACCACTCCACAAATGTCTTGTTAACAAACTATAGTTTTGGCAAGTCGGTTAGGACATCTACTTTGTGCATGACACAAGTAACTTTTCCAACAATTGTTTACAGACAGATTATTTCACTTATAATTCACTGTATCACAATTCCAGTGGGCCAGAAGTTTACATACACTAAATTGACTGTGCCTTTAAACAGCTTGGAAAATTCCAGAAAATGATGTCATGGCTTTAGAAGCTTCTGATAGGCTAATTTACATATATTTGAGTCAATTGGAGGTGTACCTGTGGATGTATTTCAAGGCCTACCTTCAAACTCAGTGCCTCTTTGCTTGACATCATGGGAAAATCAAAAGAAATCAGCCAAGACCTCAGAAAAAAAAATGTAGACCTCCACAAGTCTGGTTCATCCTTGGGAGCAATTTCCAAATGCCTGAAGGTACCACGTTCATCTGTACAAACAATAGTACGCAAGTATAAAAACCATGGGACCACGCAGCCGTCATACCGCTCAGGAAAGAGACGCATTCTGTCTCCTAGAGATGAACGTACTTTGGTGCGAAAAGTGCAAATCAATCCCAGAACAACAGCAAAGGACCTTGTGAAGATGCTGGAGGAAACAGGTACAAAAGTATCTATATCCACAGTAAAACGAGTCCTATATCGACATAACCTGAAAGGCAGCTCAGCAAGGAAGAAGCCACTGCTCCAAAACCGCTATAAAAAAGCAAGACTACGGTTTGCAACTGCACATTGCGACGTACTTTTTGGAGAAATGTCCTCTGGTCTGATGAAACAAAAATAGAACTGATTGGCCAAAATGACCATCGTTATGTTTGGAGGAAAAAGGGGGTTGCTTGCCAGCCGAAGAACACCATCCCAACCGTGAAGCACGGGGGTGGCAGCATCATGCTGTGGGGGTGCTTTGCTGCAGGAGGGACTGGTGCACTTCCCAAAATAGATGGCATCATGAGGAAGGAAAATTATGTGGATATATTGAAGCAACATCTCAAGACATCAGTCAGGAAGTTAAAGCTTGGTCGCAAATGGGTCTTCCAAATGGACAATGACCACAAGCATACATCCAAAGTTGTGGCAAAATGGCTTAAGGACAACAAAGTCAAGGTATTGGAGTGGCCATCACAAAGCCCTGACCTCAATCCTATAGAACATTTGTGGGCAGAACTGAAAAAGCGTGTGCGAGCAAGGAGGCCTACAAACCTGACTCAGTTACACCAGCTCTGTCAGGAGGAATGGGCCAAAATTCACCCAACTTATTGTGGGAAGCTTGTGGAAGGCTACCCGAAACATTTGACCCACGTTAAACAATTTAAAGGCAATGCTACCAAATACTAATTGAGTGTATGTAAACTTCTGACCCACTGGGAATGTGATGAAATAAATAAAACCTGAAATAAATCATTCTCTCTGCTATTATTCTGACATTTCACATTCTTAAAATAAAGTAGTGATCCTAACTGACCTAAAACAGGGAATTTTTACTAGGATTAAATGTCAGGAATTGTGAAAAACTGAGTTTAAATGTATTTGGCTAAGGTGTATGTAAACTTCCGACTTCAACTGTATATATATATATATATATTTATTTGATCCAATGGCCTCATTACATTACATGTATATATATATATATATATATATATTAAACTCAGTCGGGGTCTCAACTTACTGTTGCAAGTTAGAATAGTAGAATACACAAGGTGCAATTTCGAAATGTGGTTGTGCATCAGCATTTTTTCTCTTGTTATGTCAGTCACTGATAGTCACTCAATTAGCCCATGTCAGCTAACATTTTTTAGATTGGTAAATTAGTAAGTTAGTAATCATGGTCAAATTGCCATCCGGGGGCCCCCATTGATTTTGTTAGTCAATCTCACTCAGATATCATATTAAAAACTGCAAACATTTCTCTCCACCCTATGGCAAAATGTGTAGAATTGCAGGGAATTTGCTGTAAAATTGCAAAAACGTATCTGCCCCATGGCAAAATGTGTAGAATTGCACGAAATTAACTAAAACGTTATAAAAAAAAAAAAAAAAAAAAACAGGGGGGCTGCTACACTGTTTTGCTCGCAATGTGGTAGGGTTGGGTGGGGTATGCACACGTGGATAGTTCAGGTGATGAGTTCAGGTTTTTGTGGCCCCCACCTCCATCAAAGTTGCCCATCCCTGGTATAGATGATGTAATGCATTATATTTGTATGTCATTTGTAGCCTTATATAAAAGTCACGTCCTATGCCCTTCCGTGACATTCTGTCTCGTGTTGTCCCCGTCTCATTAAAAACAGTACAATAGTGAAATAAAATTGGACCCAGGCTAACCCTAATTTCCATATGCAGATCTGTCTCTGCAAAACGGTATCTCGCCATCTCACCATGCTTGCGTTCAAATGCATATTCACATCTTTTCTAAAATCCTTTTCGACAGGAGCAGAATGTTTTCGTTTGCTGGAGTAGTTTGTGACGGGATTTAATTCGCTTTCGTTTGCATGCATGCTCGAGAACTAGGGAATATATAGGCTAGATAAATGTGCATACAACTGCGTGTTTATACCACTGGGCGAATTTTTATGAATATCCCCCTACACACCACAGGCAGAGACAATAAAGAGGACCGAGAGACATTGAATTGGATTTGTTTGGCGTTCTCCCGGTAACGTATATGTTTTTCAATCAAGAGATCCAGACCCAAAAGCAAGCACACCGAGTCGTCTTGTATGTGAAGGTAGGTTCCATCATTTCTGCTAATCTTTCTTTGAAGAGAGGGGAGGGCAATTTCAGCCTGTGTAAATGAATACATCCCCTTCCCACAAGCCCTCAAAATCTCTGTCACTTTGATGGGTTGCAGTGAAAAAGTGTGTAACTTAGTCTTTCCAAATGGTCCATTATGTTGTGAGATGCTCAATTGTACATATGATATCAATTCTGTCGTTTTATTCAGGGGCGTTCTAGCCTTTTGGGGACCCTAAGCGAGATTTGGTTGGGGGGCCCTTCCACCTTCCGGGAAAAATATTTGGCAGCATAAGGAACATTTTAAAGTTTTAAAGCAAATTAAAACTTTCCATGGGACAGAGAGAAAATGTTTCAGTTTTAAAACTAATTTCCTGCAATTCTACACATTTGTCCATGGGGTTGAGATAATTGTTTTCAGTTTTTTAGCAAATTTCTTGCAGTTCTACACATTTTGCAATGAGTTATGCCATGTTCATATGACATCTGAGTGAGAGTAACTAACAAAATCAATGGGGGCTCCCTCGAGGTCAGGGCCCCTGGGCACGTGCGTTCTTTGCATGCCCAGCCAATAATTTGGCCATGATTACTACAAGGTTTAGATAGCTGGCTAGACTAACTTACCTAGCAATCAATAAAATGTTAGCTGACATGGACTAATTCAGTGACAGTGACTGACATAACTGATGAAAACATAACTGATGAAAACTGCTGATGTACTACCACATTTTT